ATAAATAAATACTTTTTACACCTTTTTTTAGTTGTTAAATATTTTTTGCTTAAAATAAATAATTATTTTTTTGAGAAAAAAAAATTATTTAAAATTTATTTCTAATAAAATAATTTTTTAATTTTCTCATTTAATTTTAACAATTTTAATCAAATCTCTTTTTTAAATAAAAAAATCTTTAAAAGATTTCCCAAGCATTTAATTTATTTGAAACAATATATGTAGAATAAACATTATATAAAAAGTGTGTAATGATTGTTGTTTAAACATTTCACATTTATTTTTTAATAAATTATTAGATAGATATTAAAATAAAAAGAATATTTATTTATTTAGTTATAAATTCAAAGATTTATTAGACAAATCCACAAAATTAATTTTTATTTTTCTAAACAGATTTAAATTAAACTTTTAATCAAAAAATATTCTAATTTTATTACAATCGGCTCTCAATTTTACTAAAAACACCTTTGGGGCTGAAAAATTGTAAGTAAAGCTAGCGTATTGTTTGGGTGTGCTTAGACACCCCCCCCCTCCAATTTATTTAAAATTGAGATTTATCTACAAAAAAGGTGAGAGATTCTATTACAATAAAACAAAAATTAATTTATTTTAGTTTAATTTTTTCTTGGAAAATCTTTTATTTTTGTAAACAATAACTTTTTTTATAATTCGTTTAATTTTTTAATAATGCTTTTTATATCTATGTAGGTGTAGCATATTGTTGCTTGGGAACAAAATATATGCATGCACATTTTTAATTTAAAATTATAATTGAAAATAATATTTTACAAATTATTTCTTTACCCCTTTTCTGTGTCGATTTCGTTCATTTACATACAAACACTCTAGAATTTTTTAAATTTGGGTGCATTAATTAGTGTTCAGCTTTTCGGTATCGAAACTTGTAGTACAGAAAGTACCGGTCCGTCACTGCCAATAGTATCGCCGAAGTACCAAACCTGCCGAAAATTAATATTAACTCACTGTAATTAAAACAGGGCTCTCATTCGTGCTTTATTTGAAAGTATTATACTTTGAAACCGACCTCCATACTTAAGAAATTGAATTTATACTTTATTGAAAGTATATACTTTAAAATCAACATTTTGGATTGAAAATGAAATTGGGGAAGGGATTGGGCAAAAAAGTGAATTTTTTTAGCCTTGGGCCTTCGAAATTATCAAAATTTTCGCCTGCGGCGCTGAAAAAGAAAGAAATCTGGCTTCTTGGGCTCCAAATTTCAAAAAATTTTCGCCTGCGGCGCTGAAAATGGGAGAAATCTGACTACTTGGGCTCCAAATTTCAAAAAATTTTCGCCTGCGGCGCTGAAAATGGACGAAAGCTTGAGGTTAAGACTGTCAGGGCTTTATTTCTTGTATCAGCGAATTTTGACATGTCATGCGTTGAAATGCACAAAATGCCCAATGGAAGCAAGAAATTATTAGAAAAGATTCATTTAAGAGAGAAATATAAAAGATTTGAGCACGAACAAATATTTTCCAATTTAATTTTGAGTATACTTTAAATTTGGAAATTTTCTCCCTATATACTTTTTTATCAAGATTTTGATACTTTTGAGTGGCATTTTGTCGATGAGAGCCCTGAATTAAAACTTCTATACATCCCCCCCCCCTTGTAAAATTCTTTAACAATATAAAAAAATATTTTGAATACTTTCTTCTTTTTATATTTTGCCCATCCCTCTTTTAATTTTTTATCCAATTTTTTTATTTCCTTTTGTGCTGATTTTTCGCCCTTGGCATTACTTAAAGGGTTTTTTTGTTTTTTCTCCTCTCTTGTCTGCCAGCCGATTTTTTTCCTTTTTTCCAAGGCCGTTGTGAAAATCTGTTTATTTCTCCCCCAATTTAATACTCAAAATTATTTTCCTCTCATTTTCAGTCATTTATTTCTCTCATAAATAAATCAGAGAAAGATCAAAAATTGTTTTAAAAAATTAAAGAAATTCTAGACTATTTTTATTTTAACCAAAATTATTAAAATAAATAAATAAATAGTTTGACTTTAATTTATAAATCGAGTGTTGAAGATAATTTAAATCATATGAAGATAATTTAAAGATTATTAATTTTATTTATTTTTGTAAAATATTTTTATTCATTTTTTCCATTCGTTTAATATTTTTCTAGTTCATGTATTGTCATATTTTGTCCTTATTATTCAACAATTTTCTTAAAATATTTTTAATTCTCTTTTGTTTCATAATTTTAAATCTGATGAAATTGTTCTATGTACCCTTATTTAAACTTTTTCAATCCTCCCAAAAAGCACTCACTTTTTTCACTCTTTTCCCCAAAATTAAAAACCACCTAAATAAATTGTATAATTTTAAAGAATAAATATTTGCAAGTTTATGTTAGTTTAATTTATTTTAAATTGTCTTGATCCGACATTGAGACTTTCATTTAATTTTAAGAGCATTTTGTGTTACTTCCTCCTATTTTCCTTTAAAAATAAATCCATCATTGTTTTAATGTCCAAATGTCATTAATTCTTTTTTTTAATTTAACCAATAAATTACAAATGACCCATCATTACATAAATATATTTGTTTATTTTTGGATAATTTTGAAAGTTTTTAAAAGTCTAGACTATTTATTTTTTTAAATTTTGAGAAGAAAATTTATTTTTATTTTTAAATTTATTTTTCAACAAAACCTGCTTTCCAATTTTTTCTATTATTAAATAAATAAATTTAATAAAACAATTTTCTTTGTAAAATAACGAAGTACTCCCTTTCTCTCTTTTTATAGGCAATAAGGAAGCGAGAAAAGTATTTTTATTTTTAAATTGAGTTAATTTAAAAATAATATTTCTTAAATATTAATTTAAAATAATAAATTAATTTAATAAATATTTATTTTATTAATAATCAAAAAAATCTCTAGATATAAAGATTTCACCCAATTAATTTTTTAATTTTACGAATATTTCTATGCTTTAAATTTCGTAATTTCCAGGAATATTCTACTAACATTCTCGTTTAATTTTCGAAATTCTTTAAAATATCCAAATTATTATTTTTCATTGTTCCTTTTTTGACTTCTTTTCTTCCTTTCCTCTTTTTTAAAAAAATATCAAAAATATAAAATACCCCCCCCCCTACCCTAATTTTGCGCAGCTAACACCTCTAAATAATATTATTTATTTAATTTTTACTTTTCTTCGTTTCCTCTTTTACTCATTTTTCTTTTTTTTTCTTCCAATAAACTGGCGTTCCAATAAAAAAATGAACATTCCAATAAAATTATTTTTAAAGACGGCCAAATGTGTGTAAATTACAGCATTATTTACTACTACAAAATTGGTGTTTGTGTATGTGTGTGGGTTTGTTAAATAAATATATTTGTTGGAACAAATTAAAATAATTATTTAATTAACTTCAAAAATATATAGGTACTTTAATTTCCCCGTTTTCTCTTAAATTAATTTTGTTAAAATTCAGTATTTCTCAGATTAGACTCTTGAGCTTAAATCTTGACAGATTTGTCATAATCCGATTATCTCGTCGAGCTCCCTCGGAAGGAACCAAAATCGACTTACTATGACTTTCTTTTACATTTAGTTAAGTCTCTGCGGTCTTTCTTCTCTAAATTCTCATCAATCAAAATTTTAAAAATATTTTTTCTTACTTCCTTTAATCAAGTGATATATGTAGTCCATTATATATTATATGTACATCATACACATTTTACAAATTAGTATTCTAATTTAGCTTTTTTTTCAATTTTAAGTATTTTATGATTTTTATTCTCTTATTTTTCGCAACTCAAAAAATTATTATTAAATTAATTAATTATCTTCTCATCCCCCCCCCCTCAATTTTTCTTTACATTTGTTTTTATTTTTTTGTCTCATTAAAGCTTCCGGCTTCTTCAAATATATAATTTTTATCCAAAAGAATGTCAACAACTGTCTATTCTTTTTACTGATTTAATGTTGGGGGAAGGAAGGGGGAGGGGAAGGGAGGGGAGAGGAGAAGGGGTAGGGAATCCATACAAAAGTTTATTAAAAGGAATTTTGAGTGTGTTTATTTTGTTGTTTTTTTAAAAAGAAGAAGATAAAAGCATAAAAAGTGTAAATCACTGTTGTTATTGACTTCTTTTTTTGTTTTTTAAAGGAAAAGAGTTAATCAAAGAGAGAATAAATAATTCATTAAAAATTCCGAAAAAGTGAAAAAAAAGTAGAGAGGGGGGGGGGGGGGGGACATAAATCAAAGAGAATTTTTAATCAATTATTTTAATTTTATAAGTATTTGTTTTTGTTAAATTTTAATTCAATTTATTATTTTTTAATTAAAAATTAAAAAAAAAATAATTTTTATGGCATTTTGAGCGCCAATTTTAAATTTTTTTTAATTTCTGACATTTTTTAAATTATTTTTCTTTCACTATACTAATTTTTTATTTGGTAAAAATTTAATTATTTGTTTGTTTGTTGTTTGCACAATTTATAAATATAATTTTGTTAATCTCTAAAAATAATAAATATGTCCTCTTAAATACTATAAAATTTTTTTTATTTTTTTTAAATCTCCCAAAAATTTTCAAAAAAAACATTTCCTCCCTTTTTAATTTGTCAATTTTTAAATATATTTTTTTATTATTTAATTTAAAAATTATTTTATTTAGATTTACAAACAAAAAATATTTATTTTTTTAAATAACAAAAAAATAATTTTATTAAAAAATGTTGAGGTGTTTAAATTTAAAAGGGAAACTGCAATTTTTGTTGTTAATTGCAATTACTTTTAAAGGCAAGTTTTTTTGAATTAATTAAAAGTAACTGATTATATTTTAAAGTTATTTCTGGTCAAACATTTGAATCAACTTCTACAGAAGAAAAAAGACCATTTTTTGATTCAACTACAATAATACCCCCAACAACAATTGACAACCAACAAGTTTATATTTTAAAATAATTTTAATTTTTCTTTCAAATTTTTTTAGCCTCGTAAAGATTTAAATGAATTACCCGAAATGAAAAAAGCAAAAGAATTAAAAGGGGAAAGTGAAAAGGCTGAAATCGAAAGAATGCGGGAACTTGCATTAGTTGAAGAAGAATTGAGACAAAAAGAGGGAACGACTGAAGGAATTGAATTAACAACTATTTTACCTAAAATTAATGAAGACGATGAGGTAATTTTAATTATTTTTGATTAAATGAATTTTTGTTAAAATTTCCCTAATTTTTAAACATTCTTTCTCAGTCCCTCATAACCTTATTTTTATTTTTCTACAATTTATTAAATTTTCAAGAAAAAATCAAATGACTCGCAAAACAAAAAACCAATGACTTTTGAAGAGTCTAAAGGAATGCATCAAGTAGAGCCTTCACCAAATGCTGGGGATGCTGTTGATGATTCTGTTGGTTTTGAAATTAAAAATAATACGACAACAGTTTCAACACAATTAAATTCTGAAGTTTCTTTCCCTCCTCTTCACACAACCCCCAAAGCTTCAACAACGATTGCTGAAAATGGACAAGATGGAGTAAATTAATTTATAAAAATATTTTTAAAATTCTTTTAGGAAAGTAGTGCTGATGATCCATTCCAAACATCCACAGCAACTTTTGAAGACGAGACAGAACATGAAACTATTCATGAAACAATGCATGTTCATGCACCAATTAATCAAAGCAATGAGCAAATGAAAGAAAAAGAAGAATTTTCATTAACAGATTTTGGTAGATTTTTTAACTAAAAATTTTAATTTAAAAATTAATTTTAGCAACTCAATCAAAAGAAATAAAAAATAAAGAAATGACTGAACCTCCATTTATTGAGGCAAATCCTGAAGATAAATCAAAAATTGAAGAGAAAGTTGATGAATCGAAAGAAATAAAAACTCCAGAAAATCCTTCAGAATCGACAGAATCTAAAGTTGAAGGAGCACATCCAATTTCGTTTATGGAACCATCTAGCACTTCACAAAATCCATTGTCAACATTACAAATGTCTACAACAGAGTAAATTTAAAATTAGAAAACAAAAATTAATTAAAAAATATTTTTTGTAGAGAGCCAACAATTATGGTTGGAGATAAATCAGTTTTTGAAGGTGGAGAAGATATTGGGTTACCTGCACCTGAAAAGGCGCAAATTCATCATATGAGTAGTGAAAATGGAGAAATGATTAATAAAGTAAAAATAGGTATTTTTTAATTAATTTATTTTTTATTTAAAGGAAGAAAAGAAAGAAGAAATGGTCGAAGAATCTTCTAAACCTCCACCATCAATTAATGTTGGTAATACTGAAAATAAAGAAGAAAATGTTGGAAGTTTTGTTTTATCCAAAGAAGAAATGGAAGAATTAAAAATAACAACAAAAGAACCTATTGAAGAAGAAAAAGGAGGAGAGAATGTTAACGGTAAAATGTCAACAATCCCAGAAAAGCCTTTGGAAAATGAAGGAAAAATAATTGGTGGAATTGAACCTGGTTTTTTAATAAATTTATAATTAAAATTACTTTTTTTAAAAGATACTAGTGGTGTTGTTGTTGTTGATAATTCTACAACAACATTATTTACTTCAACTGAAAGAATTTTAATTACACAAGAGAATATAGAAAATGAGACAAACAATCAAAGTTTCGATGATTCTGTTAAATCTACAAAAACTTTAACGACAACAATATCAACAATAAATGACGAAGAAAAAGGAGAAGAAAGGAATGATGACGGTGAAAGTAAGACATTTGATGAGAATATTGATACATCGACACCAAAAAGAGGTTTTAAATTAATTAAATATTTTATAAAAATTCTTTTAAGGTGATCTTCCTGGTGAGAATGGGGAAACAACGGTAACTGCTGTTGAAACTGAAGTTGAGGTTACGACTGAAATGGTCGAAAAGAAGCCTTTCGTTGCTCCAAATGAAACTTCTGATGATGGTGACAGTAATCATATTATTGGAGAAAAAGTTGAAACAAGTAAGGGAAGATATAAATTTAAAAAAGGGCAATAAACTATATAACTCAAAAGTTTTTAATATTTTCCTTTTATTCACAATATTTTCTCCAATTCTTTTTTTAAATTTAATTAATCTTTTAGCTGAATTACCTCTTATTACATCAACATTAAATCCTGAACAAGTAGAAAAAGCCAAACAAAATGCCTTCCATACTTCTTTCTCTATTCGCTTTCCTGAAATTGAATGGAGGTCTGAATTTTCTGATCTTTCAAGTGGGGCAGCTAAAAAGCTTATCGAACAAATTATGGAAGATTTAAAAATGGTTAGAAAAATATATAATATTTTTAATTAAAAAAATAATTTGTTTAAAGGTTTTATCAAAAGCTTTGAGTCCATCAAATTCTTTATTGGATGTCAATATTTCTAATCTTCGAATGGGTTCAGTTTTGGTTGAGGGTGAAATTTTGACAACTGAAGAAGTAACAGAGCCACAAACATTGTCAGCTGCATTGGAACAAGTAAATTTTCGAATGAAAAATTTTTTTTGATTTTTTTTTATTAGGCAATTCTTTCAAAAGGAGGGGAATTGGGAGGAAATTCAGTTGATACGGATAAATTACAAATTGGTGGGCATTTGCCTAATGCTGGGATGACATTAAATAATAATGGTATTTCTCCTTCTTTATCTGATGGACAACAAAAAAGAGACGAAGTATTAAATTATTAATTAAATTTTTAAATTAATTAATTTTTTAAAGGAAAATAATAATGCTACAAATACTGGGTTAATTATTGGCGCTGCAGTTGTTGTTGGTGTTTTAATTATTGTTTTTGCCGTTTTTGCAATTGTTGTTTTTGGATTAAATAATCGAAGAAGTGGTAGAGGTTCTATGAAATTATCTGGTCGTGGAGGTGGAGGAAAGAAAAGGGAAGAAATTTCTATGGTAGAAAATGGAAATGGGGCTTTTGGTCAAAGGCGTTTTGTTTCGGCGAATGATGTAGTTGGTGGTGGTGGTGATTCTCATAATTCTCGTCAGGGAGATGGAGTTAGTTTGTAAGTTTTTTTAGAATTTTTTTATTAAAAAACAATTTTTTAAAAATTAAGAACTGCTTTGAGAAGCACAAATGGAGGAGCTGGATCACAATTTACCTCTCCAACAAATGGTTATGGAACAAACAGGCATTGAGGACTTTTTATATTTTATTTTAAAAAATTTAAAACGGGGAGAGAGTTCGAGTTAGAAATACCCAAGATTAAAATTGTGAATAGCCAAAAAATATTCAAATACCTATTATTTTATTTTAAATGCCCCCATTATCTCATATCCTATTTTATTTTGAATATTTATATGTACTTCTTTTGGATGTTTGTTATTTTTAAAATTATTTTTGAACTTTTGAAAATTTAAAAAGAAAAATTATCAAGAAAATTTTCATCCAAAAGTTGTACAGGGTGCGGCAAATTGGCGGCCGCTTTTCTTTTTGCTATAACTTTTTTAATTTTTAATGAAAATACTTAATTCTTTTTTTCCTGGATTCCCAGCACTCTGAGAATTTTTTTGATATTAAAATTGTTTTTAAATTTCATAGTTTAGTCAGTTTAATCTTTCCTCAAAGTTCGAGCAAAAATTTTCGGATAAAAGTCGGTCTGGATTCAAGGCTATGTTTTTAATATCGGAAATGTTTATATCGTTCGAATCAGCTTTTCAATCTGATTCGAATGACATCAAAATTTTTTGGCTACGATAAAAATCTAATGAGCTACGGTCCTTTGAATGATAAAATAAAATAATTATGGTAAAAATAAAATTTTTTAGTGAAATTTTCAAAAATCAAATTATAAGCTTTTTCGATGCGCCTGAACAAAACGAATCGATTGGTACTAAAATCATCGAGATTGGATGATTTTTGACGAAGTTATGATCAATTAAAATTTGACATGAAAAAATGTTTTTTGATGATTTTGAATGTTTGGACCGGCTTATCTTTACCATCTGTGAACCAAATTTCTATTTTTTGGTACCAAAAAAATTCTCAGAGTGCTGGGAATCCAGTAAAAAAAGAATTAAGTATTTTCATTAAAAATCAAAAAAGTTATAGCAAAAAGAAAAGCGGCCGCCAATTTGCCGCACCCTGTACAAAAAATTGATCACTTTTGAAAAATTTTATTTTTGCATTTTATTTCAATTATTTAAAAATTATATATAAGAATGCATAATCAACAAGTCAGAAATGCTACATTTTTGTTTGTACAAAAATTCACTTAAAATATCTATCATCTTAAAATTATTTCTATGCAGTTATCATCAGAATTCTCGCAAATAAATATTTTGAAAAATCTAAACTTTAATTTCTTAACATTCTCGTGTGATTAATGGGAGAGAATTCGAAAGTCTTGATCAGATTAGTGGAAATAAAACCCACAGCTTGGTCGAATTCACATTTTTAGAGTATAATTACTATTTTATTGTATAATTACTAAAAAATAATCAAATACCTATTATTTTATTATAATTATTAAATTTACAACATACAATAAAAGTGAAAAAAATTTGCCTTTTTAAATTTGAACTACCTATATTTTTTTGAAATTTTTTAGATCCATTTATGGCTGCCATAAGATTTATTATTGCCTCATTGATTGTGATAATTCGATGATGAAAATAAAGTCTCAGTTTGATTTGGCACATGATTAAATATATGTGAAGGTTCTTTTTTAATTGAAGGTATTGCTGAATTAAAAGAAATTGGCATTGACGTAGTCATTGAGCTGGGAGGAGGAATGACACAAGCAGAACGGATATCAGCTGAATTTAAAAGTTTAGTTTGTCAAATGTTCTGATTATCAATATTTTAAGAAAAAATTTTCATTGTATTTAACAAGAGTATTGCTTACCAATGCTTGGTGCTATTGGGGTAGCAGCAGAGATTGTTGAATTTCTTCGTTCTGGTAATGGAGGGGGTTGAACGGTTTTATTCTGTTCATGACCAAAAAAATTAGAATCATTTCTAAATCGAACATTAGATGGTGGACAGAAATTCTAAAAAAAAATTTTAATTTAATTTTAACAATTTTTAATGTAAAAATTAACCTCAGTTCTCTTGGGCGGAACTGGCGGAGGAAGTTTTTGTTTGTATTTATTATTTTGAATATTTTCTTGTTTATCATATTTCCTTTCTTCGTCATTATTCTCAATATCTAATCCTGTACAATAATTATCCAATTCTAATCCAAGACGGTCAATTTGTTGTAAAGTTTCAGCTATAAGAGCAGCTGATGAATTAGTTGTAATAGATCCATTAACTAAAAATTAATTTTTAATATTATAGGAAATTTACAGAAAATAACCAGAATTTGTAGGATCTGCAATTGCAGTACTTCCAATACTTGAAGGTCTTAATTGATTGATAATCCCTCCATCAGACATTTTAATTAAATTATTATGTTGTTCACTATTATTAGAATAACTAGTACCAGAATCTATAGTTCTTATTGAAGAACAATTACTGCTACAAGGCAATGATTGTTGAACTGTGTGAGAAAAATAAACAAAGTACTTTTTGAAATAAGAATTAAAATATAAAAAATCAATACCAAAATTTTGTTTATTCTTAATTAAGTTTGTAGGAGAATTTTGTGATGAACAAGCTGATGAAGAAACAATGAAAGCATCTGGCAATGGCAGTCGGTATCGAGAAGGCACAGAAGTGTTAACATCAGAGTGAATGAATGTGTGTGTTGGAGAAGTGCACAATTGGGAAGGAGGCAAAAAGCACTGAAAATTAAATGTAAATTACTAGAGATCAAGTTATGTCGAAATATTTTAAAAACTAAATAGAAAACGATTGGTTATATATCAGAAAAAGTAAATCCAGTTAATAAAATCAAAAAAGATAGTAGATAAAATAAAACCTCTCTTTGCGAGTCTTGTTGTGGCATTGAATTTCGATTACACACTACAAGATTATCGTTACTTTGTCCATTAATAAAAAACATTGAAGAGGTAGAAGGGCAAGGATGTTGTTGATTTAAAATTTTTGTTCTTTCAAAGGAATAATAATTAAAAGTATAATTTAAAAGAACCTTTTGCTATCATTAACAATTCCAGATTGTTTTAAATTTTGTTTTTCAAATACTTTATTTGACTCATCACAGGTTTTACCATCTATTTTTGAAGAAGATGAACAAAGAGTAATATCTTCTTAAAAATTTAAAATTCATAAAAAAATTTTCTTTTAAAAATACCAATAAGTGCATCCACTAATAAATGTGCATCAGATCCATTTAATGTCGCCTCCAATGAATCTCGAACTTGTCGTAAATGTGTATTCTCATCCAAAACGTCCAATTGTGAACCCTAAATAATACAAATATATTTTTGTAGCTTTTTAAGAAATTTTAATATTTCCCAGCCAAATAAAGATAAAATGTACGAAAAATTTTACTTAGATAATAGTATAATTACAATAATTGGAAGCAACAAAGCTATAAACCCAGCATAATGACTCCTCTGCATATGTAACAGTTCAATAAAAGTATGACGCTTCTCTGCATCTGCTTGCGACGAATGGGATGACTTTAGACGTTTACAAGAACGTTGGTGTCGACGCTCAGCATCAGCAAGCTTGAATTTTCCCCATTAGTTTTAGAAAAATTAATTTGATAACTGAATGCTTCCATTCTGCACATTTTTTCTCCAATTCGCCGGCAAATTCTTCGATCAACGGCTGGGAAATTTTTCGTAGTCCACTCTCAATGCTACGCTGTCTAATACAATAGCGTGTAAGTGCAGCACCAATGTCACGACTTATACCTAAATTATAAATTTTAAAAATAACTTTAGGGAAATTTGTGGTTCTTTGTACCAACGATAACGTTTAATTGTAAAATTAAAAGAAAACAAACCATTAACGTTGTTGGCACAATCGCTGACTGTTTGTAATGCATCAACAAAATGAGAAAGTGCTGAAGCCGTTGCATTCAATTGCGCTCCTAATTTTGTTGCTCTTGTAGATATACATTCCCACATTGAATTTGAAGTCTTTAAATCAGAAAAAACCTCCTTGAATAAAACATTAAATATTTGAGGCGAATTATTAGAGCCTAATACAACCATTAAAAATAGTATAAACAAATTATGGATTTCTAAAAATTAAAATTATTTTAGGCATTTGAAATAAAATATTAAATAGAAATAACACAAAGAAATGATAAAAATTGAATTCAAGAATTATCTTCCAATGTAGCGATGTTTTAACATTTTCTAATTGTCATCTGTCCAATTATCTTCTGTCCAATTGTCGTGCACCATTTGAATTTTAAAATACATTATGACAATTAAATTTTCGCTAAAAACGTCAAAGTTGCTGACGCGGCACAACAAAATTATTTTTTTATCAAACTTGTTTTCTTAACTTGTAAATTCTTAGATTATTAATCTAGTGTCTTAATATTTCTCTTTTTATTTTTTAAAAGTTCAATTAGAATTTAAGATAAGCCTGTTAAAAATAAAATGAACAAAACTGTACTCAAAGCTCGTTATGGATCAGAATTGCGTAAGAATTGGATTTATCACAACAATGATGTGAGCCTTGATGACTTAATTTCAAAAATGCAACGTTATTTTGACATTAAAGAATTGGATGGAATTAAGCTGAAATATCGTGATGAAGGTTTTGTTTATTTACATATTAATAGTAAATTTATATTTTTGCAAAATTTTAAACATTAAATTTTTTAGAGGATGATTGGATTACTCTTGTTGATGATAATGACTTATCTTTTGCGCTTTCTACTTTGGAGGTTCTATATATTGAGGTTTTTCTTGACAAGTTAAAAACGACAAAGGAAGAAAAGAGTAGTTCTGATGTGAAGGTTAGTGAATCAAACACCGACACAACGCAAAAGCAATTGACGGGTACTAAGAAACAAATATCTATTGAACAACTCACTGATATTCCACTGAATAACGATCAGGTCCCCCCGACTCTACATCAAAATGGTGGATTGCATCAGCCGACGCCATATGCTGGGGGAGGGCCACCGATGCAGCAGCCGTCATATGTTGGAGGAGGGGTTATGCCGCCACCTGTTGTTTCCAGTTATTGTTTGTGTTTTTGGATTTAAGTAACTAATTGTTAATTTGAAAGGTCCTACACCCATTTCACAGCAAGTTAGTGGAGGGCATCATCAGCCACCTGTTGGCGGAGTTCTGCCACCACCTGTTTCCAATTATGGTTTGTATTTTTGTATATACACTTCAGATTTAGACTTCCGATTTAATTTTTTATTTAAAGGTCCTCCACATACAATGCAGCAATTGGGTCGTCCACCTTCTCAGCAATTAGGAGCAATGCCACAGCAACCATCGTATATTGGAGGAGTTCTGCCACCGCCTCAATTGTCCGAACAACTCACCGATATTCCGCTTGATGCAGGTCATATCCCACCTACACAGCAAATTGGTGGAATGCAACATCAGCTTTCATATACTAGCGGAGGAGTTTTGCCACCGGTGCAGCAGCCGTCATATGTCGGAGGAGGGGTTGTACCGCCACCTATTGTTTCCAATTATGGTTTATATCCTAGATTTATACCAATTATTTTCAATTTGAAAGGTCCCCTGCCCAATTCGCAGCATATGAATCTCCCACCTACTTCACATCAGATGGGCCTTCCACCTACTTCGCAACAACCTAGTGGAGTGCATCAGCCGTCATATGTTGGGGGAGCTTTGCCGCCACCTCCTATTGTTTCTTCTATTGGTTTGTATTTGCTCTTTGATTAGGTCCAAGTTTTGAGTTTGGAAGATTCATAGGCTTATATTTTCGGGGATAAAGATAAACATTTGGTTTTGAATTTTCGAGTTATGTTCAAATTTTTAAGGTACGCATGGGACATCGGCAAATCCATTCAGTCGTCAAGTTCGTTAAGGTGAAAGAAATAAACAAATATGATAAAAACTTCTGGTTATTTATATATGTCAAGATTGAGAGGGAATTTTTTGTTGGATATAAATTATAAAATGTAGCTAATTTACATTTATTTAAGCCCCCTTAAATTTGTTGTGTTGTTGTCCCTTTGACTTTATATTTGTGGCACATTCTTTTCTCATAGGGCAAACAATTCATGGGTTGGATTACATGAAATAACTTTGGCAGTTCCCTTCGGCATTCTGCCAGTAAGCAAAATTATTGTACACGATTATAATTATCTTTGAAAGGATGTGCCACGATAAACCTCCATATATATTTCAACAATAGTCCTACTTTTTTAAGTAAACGTCTTATAAAATGACATTTCTGGTCCAGATCTTTGATTCCCCAAGGATTCAATCTGATTCCCATGATTGAAAAATAATAATCGCCAGCGCCGCAGTCTTCGCATTAATTTGGTCAAAAATAACGCAGCCAAAAACCACCCCAATGCGCCCAACTTAATCCATATGAGGATAACATAACGAAACTGACAAATCCATTTTATTCTTGTGAAAAGAAAATCACTTTGTGTGTGGAAGGAATAAACAAAGCATGAAAAATGAAAATAGGTAAATTATATTTAAAAGAAAGAATCCCATCAAGCTTTTCCAAAATAAACCACATTAATAACGTCCTGCGCTCCATTGCTGTGGAGGTGGGACACCTTGCGGTCCTTGAGGTGGCCATTGATTCGACGCTAAAAATGTTTATTTATTAGACTTTAATTTCTTAAATTCAAAGTTAAGATAGGCTTTAAATTATAACTATAAGATAGTCTTTTGGTTATGTGGATTAGGGTAGAAATATTAAGAATTAATATTATAATTAATCCAATAAAAGACAGAAAGATTTGTAAAATTTAAGTATTATTAGAATCTTTTAACTGTAATCTTGTTGAGTGGCGGTGGCTCCAGTGCCTGATTGAGCTCCTCCACCAACACCTGTATATATTTGAATGTTGATAACGAGCATTGACATTTACAGACAATCTAAAAAATTACAACAAACCTCCACTAGCAGCATAACCACCACCTCCACCCGCAGCCCACTGTCCTTGCTCAGCAGCTTGAGGCCCTGTAGGTGCACCACCACCCCATGGCGCAGGTCCTGGTCCATAACTTGCAGCATACCCACCTCCTCCATAACTTCCAGCATAACCGCCTCCTCCTAAATATGACAATAATCTAAAACTAATTAAAATTTTAACCCCATTGCGGTGCAGGTGCTGGAGGTCCCCATGCAGGAGGTGGCCCATAACCACCACCATATTGCCCACCATAGCCACCTCCGCCATAACCACCGCCACTTCTTCCACCGCCGTAAGGCTGTGAACCACGACCAACAGGATCTAGAAATTATACTATTAATCATAAAATTATGTTTAAACCTCTAGTGCGAGTTCCTCTCTCCATACGATCACGTTCTTTTTGGGCAGCCCTCTGCATTTCATCTCGACTCAATGCCTTTTTTACATCACAACGATAGCCATAGATCATATGTGATTTTAGGAGAACACATCTTTAAAAAATATATTAAATTTAAATAATACACCATAAAAAGGAAAAAATAACAAACTTATCCACAGAATCATAATCATCAAAAGAAATAAAGGCAAATCCACGCGCTTTTTGAGTAACTTTATCAGTGATGATTTCAACCTTTTAATTAGAAAATAATTATTTTGAGGCCGAATTTATTTACTTTTGTGACAACTCCAAATTGTGCAAAATATTTGCTAAAAATATCTTCTGTGTGCTCTTCTCGAACACCAGACACATAAAGACGCTTTGTTGACATATTCTGTTCAGATTTTTGTGACTGATCACGTGGAACAGCTCGTTTCGGATCCACCACTTTACCATCAATATTATGCGGACGTGCAGCCATGGCCAGATCAACCTTTAAAATATTTCAAGAAATTACAGAACTGAAGATATATAACAAAACCTCGCTTTGACAAGAATACGAGACAAATCCAAATCCACGCGAGCGTTTACTTGCAGGATCACGCATTACAATACAATCAACAAGTTCACCCCATTGTGAATAAAAGTTATGAAGATTTTCATCTGTTGTGTTCAATGAGAGTCCTCCAATGAAAATCTTCCGAAATTGTTCAGGTTCAAGCTGTGCGTTATTCCTCGATCCTCTGTTACTAAATCCAGCAAATCCTCCACCTCCACTACCACCACCTCCTCCTCCACCAGTCTCCTCTTTGATACCAGTTCCATCTCCATCGACTGTTCCTTCTCCTCCACCATTATCACAATTAACTGGATCAGCTCCATTTCCATTTTGATAAACCTAAAAATTATTAACGTTATTACTTTAAAAAATGTCAACTTTTGGAGAATAAATTTACTCATTTAAATATTCTTATACTCGTACAATCTATTCCCCTACTTTCTAACTTACATCAGGCTTAACATCTTCATTAACGTCACCCATTTTGTATTTGAATGTGTTCTCGCTCAGTAATAAAGTCTAGACAAGGTTCTTACTCAATATTATGAAAGAAGCTAAAGCTGCGCTAGAATTAAATAATTTGTCAAGTAAACTTATTCCTTGCTGAAAACTAAAAAACTAATTTTTAATGGCATTAAGTAATTGTAAAGTATAAAAATTATTAAAAAAATTAAATTAATTAACACTGAACAATAAATAGGTATAAAAACTAAATTATGGGATAAATTATAGAAACACTTGAAAGTCTTAAAATAAGTAGATCAAAATAGCCAATGTGTTGAAATTTTCTCTCTAAAACGAAGCTTGTAGTTGATATGACCACTCCAAGTAATAAGACTTAATCTAGAACTTATTTAGCATCAGATCTAACATCCAAATATGTTTGCATGTTATTAACTATCGATACCTTTACATTTGCTGCATTCTTCAGGTATTTTTGATGGTCGAAAGTTCCAATTTTACGTCCCAGACGAAGAAAATATTGTCAAAATCATGCAGACGCCATAAAAAAGTCTGAAAATTGACAAAAATCTACACTAAACTGTGCCAAATTTAATATTGATTGATGAACTAGTATGGTATAATTGGAAGAATTCGTTGTATAACTTAATTTTTAAATATCCAGAAAATATATATTTCGTCATAGCGACAAAATAAACCAAGTACAATTGAGAAGTACATCTTTTTTCCACCAAAAAATTGGGCAGTTTTGTTTAAAAGATTTTTACAAAAGATTTATCAGTTTGGTATTTATTCACATTTTAAAAATCACAAAGACCTATAACCTTTGCTCCTAGTATCTTTTCCATGGCTGTGTAAAATATTTTTTGTGTGAATGTGAAAATAAGTGAGAATTAAAAGACATTTTCGCCGTCTAACGTTTTGATCTTTATTGTAATACCGGTGATTATGCAAATGTATGATAAAAAGTAATAATGAAAGATCCAAACTACACTTAGTTTTTTTGTTTTTAAAGAGTTCGTCGCTATTTGTCGAATAAACTAAAAGACCTGTCCAATTAAGTCAGAATTCGTTGGCTATCTTGATCAACTTTCAAATGAACTATGGTTAAAGATGTAATTTAGATCCCTCATTATTTTCATAGAATATAAATGGACAGAGTGGTAAACAAAATATACATTTTAGTGCCCAGTAAAGTCGATTTTCCTTGACTTGGATTTATCATAAGGGTTGGATCCGATAGCGGGCACTAAAAATATTGTAATAATCTTGAACACAAACAAGATAGAATATATTTATTTAAAATTTTAAATAGCGTTTTAGATTTATTAATTTTCTAAAAATATTGTAGTAAATCTAAAACCTTATTTTTAATTACAATATCACACCAAGAAATTAAAAAATATTAACAGGCATTTAATTGCTTGTTAAATAAATTTTGTTTTTAATAAAAATAATCATTATTTAACAGATTGAAGTGAACCAGCCAACCATTCCATTGCTTCATCTAAACCATCTCCTTTTGTTGCAGAAGTTTTAAATATTTGGAATGTTCGATTACGAATTGCCTAAATTTTGATTAATTAAAGAATAAGGATTCCTAAAAAATATACTTCTAATCCTAATGCTTTATGTACTTCAGCCAATGAAAGACAACCATGAATATCTTGTTTATTTGCCAAAACCATAAGGATAGCATTTTTAAGTTCTTCCTCTTCTAGCATTGAAACGAGTTCCTAAAAATATATTTAAATGAATAAAACATATTTTCTGTAAAAGTAAAAGGAAATTTTTATGTTAAGAGGTAAAACTAGAAATCTTCCCTTTTTTGTCTTTTTGCAATTCAGTAAATTTTTTTAACTAACATATTAAAAGCTTAAAAAACACGATTAAAATACCTGTTTTGATATACCAATTCTGTCACGATCTGCTGAATCTACGACATAAATAATTGCATCAGTATTTGAATAATAACATCTCCAATATGGCCGGATGGATGTTTGGCCACCCAAATCCCAAACTTGAAATTTAAGATTTTTGTAAGTCACCTAAAAATAAATTTTTAAAAATAATTATTATGTGGATAACCTGTTCAACATTAAAACCAATAGTTGGAATTGTTGTCACTACTTCGCCCACTTGTAAACTAAAAATAAAATAAAAATTAATGCCTCTTAAACAAAAAAATACCGATATAAAATTGTAGTTTTTCCAGCTCCATCCAAACCAAGAACAAGAATTCTAAGTTCACGTTGTCCAAAAAGACTTCGAAAATAACTAAGAACAGATCCCATAAAGTCAAATTGAGATTATTTAATTTGTAGCAATTTAAAAAAATGATTCTAAAAATATGAAAAGTCAGGTACTTTTAGAAAATTAAAATTTAGATTAAAAATATAAAATAAACAATATAAAAATTTATGAAAAAGAATAAATAAAAATCCAACAAAAATAAAAGAAAAATGCTTTTCCACGACTAATTACGAAACGCCAAGAATTTTTACATTTTAAAAAGTTTGAACAGCTGGAGGTGAAGATTAAAAGAAACTAAATAATGAAGACTAACTAGATCGACACCCCATTAAAACATTTTTTCTTAACACAAATTTAGTAGAATAAAAACAACAAAAACGATTTAAAAAATAAAAGAGAAAATATTCGTTAAAGTTCAAAATATTGTCTAAAATATTCACAATTCTCTGGTGATATTACATGACCGGGTGTACATTCTCCACTCATTGGGCATTGTAAACACGGAATAGAAGCTAAGGGTGTTGTACGTTTCCGTAGTCGAAGTGCTCTAAAAATAAGAGAAAAAATTAATAATGAAGACTAAAAAACATTTAACAAAACCTATAAGAGCGATCAAGTCTTTTCTCCATACGTCCATCTAAAACAGCTATATCAAGCACACTTTCAACATCTGCAGTACCAAGTTGCACACGGCATATGCCTTTTTCATGAATGTATCGAGCAACATAAAATAAAAAATTTAAAGTAAATCCCCCAAAAAAATTTTTTTTTTGATTTTAAATCAAATTAGTAAAAATTAAATGGAAGCCTAATAAAATAAATTGTTTTCTCATTTAAAAAATTAATTTTAAAAAATTACTTCTTCTGATAAAACAAAAGATGCTTCACGTTGTGCAACTGGATCTGAACGATGTAATTCTTCGGCCTGCCGAGCTCGTTGCTTTAAAATATTTTCAAATTAAATTAATAAAAATATCAAAAATTACCAATAGCCAATTAGTACAAACATGAATAAGTGTTTGGACAAATTCAGAGTCCAATTGTTGATCAGAATAAAATGTACCACCAGTTAAGGATTCGTCTGCCTCGAGACCATAAAGAATATAACTTAATTTAAAAAATTCTTTGCGAAAATTATTGTCAGATAAATTTGAAATTTCTTAACAAAATTTTCAAAAATTTTTAAATTTCTTTACGTTTTTCTAGTTGTCCCTGCTGCTTTAATAGATCGAATCAACTTTCGTTGTTCAAGTGCTTTTAGTACACGTCGCATTTGTAAATCGTTCAGACCAGATCGTTCACGAATATCTCTAATCCAAACACCCATTCTCTTTGCTTCTTCAACGATTGAGTAAACCTAAATAAAATAAATTTACATAAAAGAAAATAAAATGTACCAATTGTTCTTCAGGACTAACATTAGTCAAATCACTGCCTTTCTTTAAACGCAAATAAAAATCACTTCCACCACCTAATTAATTACTAGTAATTAAATAAAAATTATTTCCTTACTAGCTTGATCTGCACGTCTTAACATTTCTATTTTAGATTCAGAAAGAAGCCGATTCACAACTGCACCCAACTCGACAGCCGTTGTAGGAGTTTCATTAGAAGGCTGCATAGCCGACATTTCTGGTTAATTTAAAAATTTATTTATTATAAAAATCAAATAACCTTTAAGAAGTTCTGCATTGCTAAATCCGTCAGGTCGTTGAGCGAGCAATTGCAGTACACGTGCATCTAAGGACTCGAGGCCGCCAGGGTCAGTCACATTAGCTCCAAGAGACAAACTTGTTCCAGCCATTTATTTTCGATAAAATTTAAAATACGTTTAAAAATATTAAAATAAATAGAAAATAAAACAATTATTTAAGAAGGAATAAGTTCAAAGAATATTTACAAGCAATTACTTTTAAAAACAAAAAAAAGTCATTAAATAAAATTAGAATAAATAAAAAATAGAGACCCGCAAAAATAGTTAATATCTAAAAATTAAAAATCTATTCTTCCCTCTTTTAGAAAATGACTTTATGGAATAAAACGTTGAATGAAGCGACAAATAATTTCCTAAAAATAATTTAAAAATATATATTAAAATAAAAACTAAATAAATACCAATATTCGTTGAGGTAAAATTGAACGTATAAAAGAAACAAATAAACCAAAATTTCTTTCATTTAAATTGTTTTGTTGTGACCTATCCATGTCTTCAGAAACTTCTTTATCTACAAATCCTTGTTGACTGGCTCTATAAAATTATTTAAAAAAAATATAAAAAATATTACTTTGGAGGACAAGGATTAATTTGAATACATTCACCCAAATTTAATTTAGCATCCGTAACGAGTGTTTCAGGAATGGACAAACCATTAATCAAACAATGTCTTGCTATATTTTCAGGTAATCCAGTAAATAATTGCTTTCGCCTTTAAAGTAATAAATTAACAAGAAAAAAAAATTATTGAAAAACTTTTTTGCCCATTGATCCATTTCTTTCTTTCTCACAGATTGTAGTCTGGGAAGTACTTTATGTGTAGTTATCTCAAGCCAATTAAGAATAACTGGGTCACTCCAAATTTTATTAGAATGGTGCAAATAGATACGCACAAGCAATAATAAACCTTCAGGCTCACTTTAATTAAAAAATTAAATTATTGGACCCAAAATTCAGAGACTAGTAAATATATTTTACCGATAAGAAGCCAATGTATTCAAATAGTAGTTACGCTCAATTAAAGGATCTGCTCGAATTTGTAAAAAATCAAGTATTTGAGAAAGAATAAATGGAAATGCTACCAATGCTTCTTCAAACTAAAATTAAAAAAATTATTACAAACAAGAATTATTAAATTAAAAAAAAAATTAAAAAAGTACATTTCTAACTGCCTCATCTTCCATTCCAAGTAAATGAAGTGCCAAAGATATAGAGAATCTAAAATTGGGAAGCAAATCAAGTCGTTTACTTTTAAGAAAATATTCATAAAAATCAAGAAGAAAATTTGGACAATTAGCTCTAAAAAATTTTATAAAAAATTAAATATTTATAATAAAAAACCTGATTGCCAAAGAATCAATTAAAAGTAAAATTCCCAATGGATCGCCCTCAAAATCTTTAGAAAATAATAATTTTGCAATTTCAAGAGATGTTTTTAAATTATTCTTTTCAATATTTTTTAATAAATAACGATAAAATAAAAGAAAAAATGGACGATTTTCCTTCCAAGAATAATCCTAAAAAACTTTAAAAGTTTTAGAAAAATTAAAAACAAACCAATCGACAATTACAGGAACATAAATTAAAATTAGGGCGAAAAGCAGTTTCTAGGGCAAAAATTCCACGTTCTAAAAAACAAAAAAAAATCAAAATATTTTTAATAAATTAATTAACCTATAAAATCATTAGCTCGCTCATTATTTCCCTCATTTTGAATTAAATCTGCCATTAAAAGTAAACTATCAAGATGATAGGGATTTTGTTTGTTGAGAATAATATTCTAAAAAATAAAAAAAATTATAAGAAAAAATCTAAAAAATACCAAAATATCCGAATAACGTTTTTCATTATAACAAAAATAGAAAAATTGTTGTTGACGTTGATACGCCTCATTATGCCAAAAACGAAACCATTTAATTAAAATATTTTGAGAATTTCCAAAAGAATCAAAAATCATTCGAAATTCTAAAAAAACTTATTTTTTATTTCAATTAAATTTTAATTTACCTAAATTTTTTGGAATAGGCCAACTTCTTTGAACATCAACTAATTTACTTTCAAAAGACGTTTTAATTTGTGATTCCAAATTATTTAAAGCAACAATATTAACCGATTCTTTTAAAATATTTAAATTAATATTTAATAATTTATCAATAATATTTTCGGCTCTATTACACAATATACGTCCAATCAACTATTATGCGTCCAATCAACTTTTATACGTCCACTCAAATTTTATACGTCCAATAAAAATTTATGCGTCCAATCAAATTTTTATACGTCCAATCAAAGTTTATGCGTCCAAATAGATTTTTAAACGTCCAGTAAAATAAATTCAGAAAAAATCAAAATAATTTTTATTTATTATAATGCCTTGCTCAAGGGCTAACATTTAAAACAAATTTAAGAAACGATTTAATGTCTGTTACATTAAACATTAAAATTAAAAAATGATTCCCCATATATAGTTGCAGTACCATCACGTACCAGTTTCATATCACTATTCTAAGAAGCATTCTCGTTATGAGATCCATATCTACAAGTGAACAAAATTTTTCAACATATATTTGAGTTGCCGTTTTCGAAAAAGGCCGACGTTCGAGTCATTTTTTCGGGCTTCAATTTATCGAACCAGGCACCAAGTCTTTTTCGAACCAAAATTCGATGCCCGGTTCGACCTATCGAACCGAACCGGGCCGGCAACCCTAATTGGAATACAATTCCCGGTTTAATTTTTGCTAAAGCATTCGAAATTAATTGATGAAATAAGGATTTTTTTTATTAAAAAGTATTTCTTAAATTATATTTATTTTAAATTATAAGTGCTAAAAATATGTTCGGACGTATAAAATTTGATTGGACGCATAAACTTTTTATTGGACGCATAAATTTTCATTGGACGTATAAACTTTTCATTGGACGTACGAACTTTGATTGGACGTATAAAAGTTGATTGGACGCATAATAGTTGATTGGACGTATATTGTGTAATAGAGCCATATTTTCTTCTTCTTCATTTTCCTCTAAATTATTTAATTCTTCAATTTCTAAAAAAATATATATAAATTTCTTTTAAACATTCAAAAAAAAACCTTCATTCACCAATTCTTTATTTAATTCATTTTTTGATTCAATTAATTTAACCAATTCGTCAATTTCGTTGTCAAAGGACTTTTTCCGTATTTTTCTTTTATTAAACTTATTTTTCCTTTTTTCGTTTTTTAATTTTATTTTTAAATCAATAACATCTTCATCTTTGTCCAGGGAAGAGGTCTCATTTTGATTCTCAAGAAGTACACAAAACTTTGATTCAAAACTGAAAATAAATTTTTTTATTAAATTTAAAGTAAAGAAAAAACCTCAAAATTTCTTCGCTTTCATCCGATTCCTTTTGCTCGTTATTGTCAGAAATATTTTGATTTGATTCCTCCATGTTGTTCAAAAAATATTAAATAATTTTTAGAAGAAAATTAAAAAAAGATAATCTAATATATATATAATTTAATAATTAAATAAAAAATAACTTAATTATTATTGAATTTTATATTAAAATTAAAACAAAAGTTGACTAAAAATAAAATAAATTTTTTTATGTTTTTGGCCACCAATTAGGCCTCCAGACTTCCAATGCTCGACCATTCGAATCAAAAAGCCGAATAAAAATATTTTCTGGTATTAATCCAACAGAAATTAAACAAAGTCCAAATTTCCCATTTGAGGTAATTAACTAAAAAATAATTTTGGAAATTTAGAGAAATTCTTCTAAAAAACCTTTCCTTGCCGTTGACCTTTCTCATCTTTCAAAGTTAAATCTTCTGGCATTTTATTTGAATCATTAAATAACCACTTAAAAGGCATTAAACGTCTTCTAACAATTCCACTATGGTAAGTACGGGAAATTAATTCTTGTCCAATATAACAACCAAAAAAAAAACAAAAATTTTAAATTAAAAATTACAAAATCCAACCTTTATCAAAACTAATTCCATTTAACAAATCTCCATTCATAGCCAAAGGTATTTGATCAATTATTTCCATTCCTTCCCCAATTCCCCAATTATATCGACGGGAAATATATTCTTTTTCCAAATTTTGATTAAATTCTAAACAATTTTCTTCTTCATTTTCAATTAAAGAACGATATCCAAAATTGGGTACTCGAGGATCTAATGTCCAATTAATTAGAGTTTTTGAAGAATTTTGTTGTTGGAATACATTATTTGTTGAACAAAAACAAACATTTAAATTATTTAAATTTTCAATAATTATTGGCCTTCTTAATTTATAAATATTTAAAGCTTTCTGTAAAACTTCCAATCTTTTTGGATCAATTTCAATTCCATAACTTTCAACATCATTATTTTCTAAAATATTTGTTAATCTCCAAATAAACATATCAACAAAAATTCTTCCTTTAACATTTAACAAAAATGTATATATTAATTTATTTTCTTCATTTAATAATCTAAAAAAGAAAATAAATAAATTTTTAAAAATACAAAAACTAAACTCAATATCTTTTGTTATTAATCCTTGTAAAAATTGTTTTGAGCCGTGGCCTTTGACTAAAAGTAAATGACGAAAATTTAATTTAAATGGAGGCAACATTTACTAAAAGAAAATAAATAATATTAATTAACAAATTAAAAAAAATAAATATTTATTAGTAATAAGGGCGAACAGATCAAATCCTAGGGAGCCTTAATTTTTTCGCACGAAATTGTCGTGCCCGCTCAACTCATCTAATACTTAACTCATCCACACGCCCAAAATCGCTCAACTCATCTAAACGGCTAAAATTCCTTAACTCATCCACACGGCCAAAAACGCTCAACTCATCCAATCCTCAACTCATCTAATGCTTAACTCATCCACACGGCCAAAAACGCTCAACTCATCCAATCCTCAACTCATCTAATGCTTAACTCATCTACACGGCCAAAAACGCTCAACTCATCCAATCCTTTGGAACGAGACTATTGAGTACCAGTCGTTTGAGTCCCTGGCCGTTTGAGTCTCTGGCCGTCTGAGTCTCTGGCCGTCTGAGTCCATGACCAGTTGAGTCTCTGGCCGTCTGAGTCTCTGGCCGTCTGAGTCCATGACAAGTTGAGTCTCTGGCCGTCTGAGTCTCTGGCCGTCTGAGTCCATGACAAGTTGAGTCCCTGGCCGTTTGAGTCCATGACCAGTTGAGTCCCTGGCCGTTTGAGTCCATGACCAGTTGAGTCCCTGGCCGTTTGAGTCCATGACAAGTTGAGTCCCTGGCCGTTTGAGTCCATGACCAGTTGAGTCCCTGGCCGTTTGAGTCCATGACCAGTTGAGTCTCTAGCCGGTTAAGTCCCTGGTCAGTTGAGTCCCGGCCGTTTGAGTGGTTGATTACCGCCGGTTGAGTCTTGGGCCGGTTGAGACTCAACTGACCAGGGACTCAACCGGCTAGGGACTCAACCGGCCGATATTTCAAGGATTGGATGAGTTGAGCGTTTTTGGGCGTGTGGATGAGTTAAGCATTAGATGAGTTGAGGATTGGATGAGTTGAGCGTTTTTGGCCGTGTGGATGAGTTAAGTGTTAGATGAGTTGAGGATTGGATGAGTTGTAGGGTAGCCGAAATTGTAGTTTATTTTAAGAATAATATTTACAGTAATCTTTTTTAATACAGTATTTCCCCATATTTTTATTTCTTTAAACAACAAACAATTTACGAATATTTTTTTCGAAAAATATAAATTAAAATAAAACAAATTTAATTTTTAAAATTAAAATTAAATTAAAAATAATTATTTAATTATTCTCTTCTCCTTTTTGTTTAATATTAATTTATTTTTCTTCAATTATTTTATTATCATTTATTTCTAAAGCCCATTTTCTTGGTTTAGATTTTGCAAATAACATAAAAATAGTTATTGAAATAAATACAAGAATTGAAATTGTTAAAAATATATTTGTCCACTTTAAAATTAATTAATTAATTAAATATACTTTAATTCTTTACTTGTTTAATTGTATCATTTGGCGCCGCGGCTGCAACAATTCCTGGGAGGATTAGAGGGACAATGCTTATTACTATATTAATCCAAGAAATGAGTAATTCTGAATGTTTTGCAGATATCTTTTAAATTTTAATTTAAAAATAATTTAAAATTAAAAAGAAAAACTTTTTGTGAATATCGAAAAAATCCAAGAAAATTAAATCCAGTAAAAATATTTAAAATTGAAAAGAAAGGTAAAATTAACCAAAGAGATGAACTTAAAAGAGGAATAAAAGCTAAACCAGCCATTGATATACAAATTCCATACTTTTAATAAATTTAAATTAATTTTTAAAAAGAATTTAAATTACTTGAGATATAGCAGCAAATAATTTAGTTCTAAATTGTTCACTAAATATTTTCGAAAGTAATTTATCATTAATTGGGCCAATTAATAATTTTGTAATTAAAGAAAGTAAATAGGGAATTGCCGAGAAATATCCAGTACCGGCAATACTTATACCCAGAACCTTTTTTTGGAAATATTAGAGAATATTTAATTAATTTCCCATACTTTATTTAAATAATATGGCCCAAGTTCTGAAATAAATTGAAAAGCAATTTCATCACAAAAAAATCCTAAAAATAATAACCAAATTGTCCAATCAGTTAATATTTTAAAATATGGGGGGTTTTGTTGCTTTTTATTTTCTCTCATTTCTTTTTCAGTTTTTCCAAATTCAATTTGTTTTAATTCAATTTCAGATATCCATCTATTTTTAATTAAAAATTATAATTAAATTTAAATATATTTACGGATGTTCAGAAGGACAACCACGAAAAATAAAAAAGAAAACAATTGTAAATATTAAAGTTAAAATAGCCATTAAATAATATATTCCTTCCCAACCAAAATTACTTTCACAAAAATATCCGGCTGTCGGCATTGTAATTAATGAACCAATCTTTATATATTTTTTTAATTTTAAATTTCAAAATAATATACTTGATAATGTGTAGAAGCTAAAATTAAAAAAGTAGCCGTCGATGTAGCTGTTGCCCATTTACGTGAAACTAGGGAAATAGTTACATATTCAGCTGGATAACAAGTACCCTTTTAATTTGTTTTTTTGTATACTTTGATTAAAGAAATTTATATTTTTACTTGAATTACTCTTAAAAAACAGAGAAACCAAAAACCAAAAAATTTTTCTCCAAAAGGAATAAACAAAGTGGACAATGCGGAAATTAAACAAAAGAAGGTTATTGTATGTCTAGAAAAAATAGAAAAAATAAAAGATTTTTTTTATTCTAACCTAACATTAAATAAATTAATTAAAGGAGAAATAATAAAACCACCAAAAATTGCCCCTAAAGCAGGACCAGAAAATAAAAGAGAACGTTCAATTGCTGAGAATTCATTTTTATCATTTTGTTGTTTTATTGTTTGATTATTCAAAATATTAATTTCTTAAAATTAAAAAAAAGAGGGAAATTTAAAGAAAAAGTAAATGGAAATAAAGCCTGACTTGAGGTTATACATATAACGAAAATTCGAGAAAATAATTATCGAGAAAATAATCTGTATAGTTAATTTTTTTTTACTTGAACTTCAAATGGTCAAGCACTAATAATTTGATTGGACAGCCCGAGTCAAGAAAAACAATTTCGTCAATATTCTCTATCAAAAATATAGTTTCTGTTCAATTTCTAACTAATTCCTAATATTTAATTAAAGTTAACACAATCCCCCTTTCCTCTTCATAAAAAGATTTACTAAATAAATATATTTATTTATTTACTACCTATTAATTCTTCTTTAATTGAATTCATACAGATAATTGTAAAATTTAATAAAATACTATTTGAAAATATTAATGTCATACAAATAATTGAAATAATTAAAATTAAATAACGAAGTTTTAAAAAATTATCAAAAAAATTAATTAAAGTCATTTTTAATTCTTAAAAAGATTTTTTGTTTTTTAATTAAAAATTTTTATTAAATACAAAAAAAGGATAAATATTTAAAGAAAAATTTGTTCTATAATAATAGATACATGTATTTACTTAGTACATTTTTAACAATTTTTATTTAATTCCAAAGAATTTACATAAGATTAATTTTTGCAAAAATAAAAAAAAGGCTATGTAGAATTGTATGTAGTAAATATTAAAAAATGTTTGTAAAGTGAGGAGAGGGAGAAGGGGGAATAGTTTTTTTTGTTATCTTTGTTACTTATCTCTATCTTCCTTCTTTTTTCTTTGTTTTGGTATTGTAAAAGTTAATAATTTTTAATTAAATAAATATATGTAGATATTTTTGTAAAAATAATTAAAAACAATAAATTGGCCAAAAGAATCATCTAAATTAATTTATGAAAATAAAAATGTCTTTAAATGTCTGACCGCTGAATTTGAATGTCCAAAAAATATGAAGAAAAAATAAAATAAATAAAAAATATGTGAAAAATAATTTTATAAAAATTATTTTAAACAAAAAAAACTTTAAATTAAAAAATAACTAAAAAATATATTTTTATTCAAAAATTCACCTCCTATTTTTAAATAAAAAATTTTATATCCAAATATTTTTAACACAAAAATAATCAGAAAAATAAACAAAAAAATAAATGATGAATAATAAATAATTATTATTCTTTAAATTAAGTATTTAAGTAAATAATTTTCAAAAAATTTTTTTTAATATTTCCAAATATTAAGAATGAAGGAGTGAGTATTCATTTAAATTCTTTTTCTCCAAATTTTCTAAGAATATTTTATTTTATATAAATAAATTTTAAAAGAAATATTTTTTTAAATAATTTTTTCAGCTAATTTTTAACAAATTTCTTTTTTAAATAAATTTAATTTTTTAAATGGTCAAGAATTAAAAAATTATTTTTTGATTGTTCTTTTCTTTTTGCAAAAATCAAAATTATTATTTTTTTATTATTTTTCCACCTGTTTTAATAGTAAAATAACAAACATCGATCGAAGCTTTTCAATTATTTAAAGAAATTGATATTTGGCAATTATTTATTTTTAAAAAGCTTTATTTTTAAAATGAGAGGAGGAGGAGATTGTAGAGGAATACAAAAAAATAAAAAAATATTTATTTTTATTTTAATTATTTTAATAATTATTTTATTGTTATTATTTTTATTTGTTTTTATTTTTTTCATTAAACAACAAATTGATATTGATAATAAAAAAGAGGAAAAAAATGGTAGTAAATTAATTTAAATTAATATTTAAAAAAATATTGAACCTTTAAATATATCCTATTGTTTAGAATTTAGTTTGGAAGAGTCACCTAGTTTTAAATTAATTTGTTCAATTTCCAATTTTTAAATAAATAAAAAATCTAAACTCTTTTTTTTTCTATTCATTAATTATTATATTTATTTTTAATTATTAATATTTAATGTAATCACTGTTAAAATAATTAATATTTATTCAAAATAATTTTTAATAAAATTAATTAATTATTAATTAATAACGGAAATTTAGATAAAAATTAATTAAAATTTAAGATAATTTGTGGGGATGTACTTACCTTAATTGCTCTTTAAATACATTATTGGATCCTTGTGATGATTTTTATGATTATGTTTGTGATGGATTTGTTAAAAATACAAGTAATTTACCTGAAGGGTATACAAGAAAAAGCCAATTTAATATTTTATGGGAAAAAAGTTATGAGGAAATTATTGGTTTGTTTGTTTTGGTTTTTCAGTCAAACCTAGCTATAGTATATCCCCAATAATAAGGGCACATTAATTTGGTTGGGCACTGAGTGATATTCTTTTATTTATAATTTATTTCACTACTTAAATTTAACCCCCAATACTGTATACTTATCATTTAGTGAAAAAATATTACATTTGATAGATTGGGAGATATATATTTTATTTAAAAGTATTTTAATTAAATAAACAAAGAATGGTTCTATTATTTTTTTAATAAATACATAGGCTTCCAAAAACCCCCCAGTTTAGTGAGAATGTATATTTAACTATCAAAATAAGTTAAAATAATTTTTATGTTGCTAAGTTTAGAATCTGGATACCTAAAAAATATAACTAATTTTTTAAATAATTTTTATTCATAAAATTATTTTAATATATTTTTTTGTAGATTTATTAAATAATAAAGAATTAAGAAAAGAAAAAATATTAGATAATTCATTATTTAAACAAATGTTTCAATTTTATGATTCTTGTTTAAATAATCAAAGTCGTGAAGAAATTAAAAGTCAACCTTTACTTGAATTTATTGAAAAAATAATTGGAGGAAGTGGGGCTGTTGGAAGATTGAGGAAATTGGAAACAGAATGGATTTTAAAAGTAAAATGAGAAGATAATATTTTAAATATTTATTTAAAGGCATTTCCTTTTGTGCCGTTTTTTGATATAGAAACTACTTGGGATGTTAGAAAAGAATCTTTAGAAAAAAGTTTCTTTTAATATTTTATTTAATTATAATTAAACTAAAAGGTATGTTTATGTTACAACCAAAATCTCCATTTTCATTTTCAAATAATTTATGGAAAGACAATGAAAGAATTAATTTTGAAAATAAATTAAAGAAAATTTTACGTTATTTAATTGATGATTCTTTGGAAATAAATAAAAAACTTCCAGCATTTATGGAAAGTGGATTAAATGAAGAAGAAATTAATTGTTTGTATAAAAAATATTAAATTTTGTAAATACCTTCCCCCTATCCAAAGACGGAGGAAAAATATTTACTATTTACTACCATCATTATTAATTCTTGGCCATTTTTAATTAATTAGGAAACGGGGGAATGTTTTATTCCTTTCGTATACCAAAGGGGAACTTAATACTCGTTTGTGGATATACTAACAAAGTTTAGGGAATCTCAGTTAAATTGACCAAAAGTTATGGAGTTATATCTGCATTTTTATATAAATATTCAAAAACAAAAAATAAAATTCCAAAGAATTTAACAAAAATAGGGAGGATAAAGCAAAAAAATTAAAACAAAATATTTTTTTAAAGTAAATATTGAAAGACGTGTTAAAAATTTAATTCTTGTGGAACAAAAAATGTCAAAATCATTTGGTAATAATTATTTTTATATAATTAAATTTAATTTAAATTTAAGAAAAATATTCGAATACTTTACAAAGATTTTCTAATTGGGATGAAACAGAATTGTATTTAGAATTAGGGGAAATATCTCCTTTATTTTTACCTTCAAGTATTTCTATTGATTTTGTTAAAATTTTGAATGAAATTGCTAGGTAAAATTTAAAAATAAAATTTAAAAAAATTATTTACTTTAAAGTGAAGGAAATCCTTTAATTAATGAAAAAACAAAAATTTTAATATTGGGAACTGAAATATTAAAAGAATATCGTTTAATAATTGAATGGGCAGAAAATGAAGATGGAGGAAATGTTTTGTCTGATTATTTGGATTGGGCATTAATTTGGAGAATTTTATTTGAATTAGATTTTCGATTTTCGAATTTACTAAATTCTTATAAAAAAGATGAAATTGGGTGTGTGAGGAATTTTGTTAGAATTTATTTTAAACATTGGCTTGATAAATTATATGTAGAGAAGTTTGTTGATAAAAAGGTTATTGGACAAGTAGAAAATATTTTTAGGTTATATTTTTAATTTAAATATGGGAAAAATTAACAAAAATTATATTGAAGTTTCTATTTTCAAAACTAATTTTTTATCTTACTCAAGAATTAAACAAAAATAATAATTTAATTTTCAGTTTTATTAAACAAAGTTTTGGACAATTAATTACTGAAGCTGATTGGATTGGAGACGAATCTAAAAATAAAGCAAAAATTAAATTATCAAAAATGAAACAAAATATTGGATATTTTAAATTAAATGAAGATTTAATATTTTTAAATAAATTATATAAAAAATATAAAATTGAAGAAAATATGTCTTGGATGGAAATGTTTGTACAATTAAATAGAAATTATTATTTATGGCCAACAATTGATTATCAAGTAAAAATTTAATTAAATATTTTATTAAATTAAATATTAATTATATGTACATACCCCAATTAAATATTTTAAAAATTATTAGAGAGAGGATAATTGTGAATTGTTTTTTGGGTAGTTTAGAAAAGCAAATACACACAAATATTTTTTAATTAAAACAAAAATTAATTTAAGGCATCTTTCTTTGTTGATGGTTATTATAAATGGGCATTTAATTCATTAGCTATTTATGGCGGAATTATGCATTCTCCTTGGTTTGACCCAACATTCTCCGAACCTTTAAATTTTGGAGGTATAGGAACTTTATTAGGCCACGAAATTTCTCATGGATTTGACTCTTCTGGTTTTCATTTTGATGAAAATGGAGATAGAATTGATGAAAAGGATGTAGATAAAGAGATGAATAAAAAAATGGAAGAAAAATTTGAATGTTTTATTCAACAATATAATAATTATGAGGTAAAATAATTAAAAATTTCTGAATGACTTAAATTTGATTGAAAAATCATTCTTCAAATTATTTTGTAAAAAAATTAAATAAAAATTTGTTCATAGAATAACAATTTACGTCCAAATACTCGTTTTACATTATCTGAGAATATTGCAGACAATGCAGGTATTCGGGCGTCATATAAAGCTTGGAAATTATTTACAACTTCTCCAAAGAAAATTAAAACTTTAAACAAATCTTTAAATCAATTCACTGAAGAACAAATATTTTTTATTGGAAATGCTTTTGTAAGTAAATAGAAAATAAATAAAGTTTAAATTAAATAATTTTTTAATTTAAAAAGACTTATTGTTCTGTAATGACTGAAGAAGATAAAAATAATTATGCAAAAACAGATAATCATGCTTTCCCTAAAGCAAGAGTTAATTTACCTCTTAGTAATTTTCAAGCATTTGCAAAAGCATTTGAATGCAGTTCTGGAACAAGGATGAATAATAATGAACAAAAATGTCAACTTTGGTAGTAAAATGAATTGAAAAATGAATTGAAAAAATTTTGTTTTTATTTTTATATTTTTAAATTTTATTTTAAAATAATAAATTGACTCTCGTTATATAATCCAACCCTAAAAGACCGTATGTGGGAATATATCCCTGTGGTATGAAAATTTGTACTATAAAAGAGTAAATTATGAGTTTTTAACAATCAACATTCAATTAGTGTCGCTGGTTTGCTGCTTGCCGTTCTTCGCTTCCTAAGGTAATTTGAATTATTTTTTTCTTGTTTTGTTTTCAATATGTACATTTTACTCAATTTAGATGAAATCTGGCGCTGCTAAGACCAAAAGCTCTGAGGGCAAGACTAAAGGAGATGAACAACAACAACCGCAGCAGCAGCAGAAGAAAAGTGCTAGCAGTGTCAAAAGTAGCGGATCAAAGGACTCGTTACCGGCAAACAATGAAGATAGTGATCTGGTCTTCTCTAGTGTCTCACAAGCAAGTGTCATCGAAAGGGAGCCAACAAAACCTTCTATTCCTGTGACGCCGCCTATGCAGTCCAGACCATTGCCAGTTGCTAACCTGTCCATGACTGAAACTGGGAATAGTGATTGTAAGACATAATTTATTTGTTTCTAAAAATTTTTTTTCTCGTTTTTAGCTGTCAGCCCTAATGATGATGACAAGAAGAGTGATCAGCGTAAGCGTCAAGGGGTCGCAAGCATCTGGAAACTTCCAAAAGGCGCAGATGTTAACAAGGACCCGCGAAGCAGCAATTATTCGTGAATGGTCGTGAATAAAAGAAGTTGAAGAAGGATAGATTTGTGATAATATTGTTATAGTTCATATGTACATAATTGCTGTAATATATTGTAAGTAGTGTGTTTGTGTAATAAATTGTTTGTTCTTTTGATCTGTTATCGCTCTCCAAAGTATTGTTTTGTGAATGAATTTCCCAGAAGTTCTGTAAAAATTCCAGTTTGTAAATTTCCCGGTTCTGAAATTAGATTGACTAAAATTCTGCCTGTGACGAAATATTTATATTTTTCCCAGACTACGTAATTCCTCTCTTTTGCAACTCATTCAAAATTTAGAGCAAAAGTCTCATTTCTTTAGCAAATCGAACAGCTAAAAACTTCAAAACATAATAATTATCTACCTGAGCAACTGAAGCTTTGTTTTGGCTTTTAAGGATTTTAAAAAAAATACCCTAATTGGGGAGTAAAAGTTCGCCTGTGGGGCCAAAAAAAGTAAATTTTTCATGTCTCTGGCGACTTAGATTTTCAAAATTTTTGCATATGGTGCTAAAAAGTGAGTTTAACGCGCTAAGGTGAGACAGTTTATAAGAATTCATGCATTTTTCTTAGATTTTAATTTTTAATTTAATTTTTTAATTTTCTTAATTTTCCTAATCACATCCCCATATTACCCCACCATTTTTTATTCACCAATTCTCCCAAAAATTTCCCTATGTGACCAAGAAATTTTGTCTTGAGTCTTGTAAATGTTTAGTTTTGAGTCTTGGAGTCAAATTTGTTCTCGAATCTTGTAAAATTTTGTTATCGAACTCTAGGAAAAATAAAAATGCGAAATAAGATCTCAACTTTTACCGAAATTCTTGCATATTTTCAAGTCCTAGAAATTTGATTTTTCGCAATTTGAATTTCGTTTATTTCGATTGTACAAAATTTTTTATTTAGATAAATTTGTTAATTTTTAAATAAATTAAAAATTTAAATGGAAGATGATCCAGAAAGCAAAGTTGATTATCAAGTTGAAAAAGAGATTTTGGATGAGCTCGTTCAAAAAGTAATTTCTTTAGAGGAAGACAATGATGCTCAACACAAAGAGCAGACACAATCAATTAAAAAACAAGAAGAAGTTGAATTAGAAAAACCTCAACAAATTGAAAAAGAAGGGGGGAATGACCGTCAAATTATTGAAGAAGATCAGGACGATGAGGAAGAATGGGAAGATGCTGGCGATGGACGAGAAGAGGATGAACAACTAGGGGATGAACAAGAGTTTGAAGATGAGCAGGAAGATGAAGAATGCGATGATCAGGAAGAAGAGGATGGGGAGGGGAAGAAAGATTTGGATGATGATGAAATTGTAGAAAATCCAGCCTACATTCCAAAACAAGGTTAAATTTTAATATTTTTTTTTGTTTAATATTCTTGAATGGAGCAAACGCAACTTTTTGTTTTTCAACTGATGATTGCGTTTGCTCCTTCAATGATTTTTCTAAAATTTTAATTAGGTAAATTCTACATGCACGATATTGACCGGTCTGTTCCGCCGGCTCGTCGTAGCCGTGTGTTTAATCCTGCTGAGGACGAAGAAGAAGAGGAAGATACAGAAGGTATATCAGCTGCATCAAAATGTGAGGATGACATGCCAAAAACAAGGGCAGAACGCGTCCATAGTAATTTTTAATTTAAATAAATTTTATTGTTTATTATCTTTAGAATGGAAACACGACATGTTTGATGAACGTGCACAAGGTCCTAAAGGCAGAGGGGAATTGGTATATCCTTTATTAAAAATGTTTTTTTTCATTTGTTTAGATTCGCCGTTATGGATGTGATATTCGACGTGTTAATGAGGACGATGATGATGGAGATGAACAACAAAATATTCAAAATACTGATCAAAGTCGACAACGAACTCGAGGAGCAAGAGAAAGAGGTGGTGGAGGAATAAGACGTTCAAGAGGAAGAGGTTTAGTTGTAACAAATCGGCGACAACCTGTGCAACAGCAACAATTTTCTTATCCAAAAGAAAGGGATGGAAGACAGGAAGGACAAGAAGAGGAAGGAAAACAACAAGAAAGACAATCACAACAATTTAGTGGAAGTGGCGGGCGTGTTGTAAATTTTATTTTTTCCCGTATTTTTACAATGATTTTCAATAGATTCGAAATAGTGGAACGCATGGAGAACGTGGACGTGCTTATGGACTCGGTAGAAATGGTGGTGGCACTAATGTTGGTTCTCGTGATGGTCGTCCTATGTCAAACAATGTAATAAAGCTATACTTTTTTCCTTCTTTTTATAAAGCCAAAGGTTGTTTTTATTTGTAGCAACCGTTTCAACGTGAAGGACGTTTTTCTGGAGAGGCACAAAGAGAAGGACGTTTCTCTAGAGGAGAATCCCAACAACAACAAGATAATCAACAAAAACAATATAACCAATCTTCACCTCGTATTAATCAAAATGTCAGAGGAATGCGTGGAGGACGAGGGGGAAGCAGAGGATTTCAAGTATATTAAATCCTGTTATTTAAATTATTCCTATTCCTTTAAGTAATTTAAGAATTAAACGGTTATTTTTGGGTTGTAAATCATGATTTACTAGTATTGAACGGGCGTATTCGGAGGGCTGGTTTCCTAAAGCCGACTTGAAACGGCCTTGCTATTTAGTTAGTAAATCTATGCCTTGTTATTGAGTAAATCTATTTTGTCAATCTATGATAATTTCAGTTAATCGCTTTGTGGATATTTTGGAATCACTTTTGAAACCTTAACAGATCTTTAGTTTACAAAAATACGGAGATGTTTATTAAACTTATTCTTACATTAGCAGGCTGTTCATCGTGAAGGACGATTTGCGGACAATGAAAGAGATTCCCATCGAGAAGGTCGTTTCGCTGGAGAGGATTCGCAGAGAGGTCGATTTTCTAGAGGTGATTCACAGAGAGAAGGTCGATTTGCGGGAGGTGGATCACAGCGAGCACGTACTTTTGGAGGAGATTCACAACGAGGACATCATGAAGGAGGACGTTTTGCAGGAGGAGAGTCACAGCGAGAAGAAAGTTTTTTTGTTGGAGATACACAACAATTCCAATCGCAACAATATAACCAGCAACATAATTCGCAACATCAATACAATCAACCACCGCCTAATCAGAATATCAAAGTGCCAATGCGCGGAGGACGAGGGGGAGGAGGTGGATTTGGGGTAATAAGTTTGTCAATGAGAGACATTTTTTATTATTTAATTTTTAGGGTGGCAGCCATCGAAGTAATTTTCATCAAGAAGCAAATGTTCAATCTCCTATTGTACCACCACAACAACAATACAATCAACAGGCACACGTTAATTATCAGGCCCCAGTACGTGGAGGACGAGGTGGAGGTGGATTTGGGGTAAATTATGTTATTAATTTGAATGTTAACTATTAAACTTTAAGGGTGGCAGCCAACGCGGTAATTTCCAAGGTTCGATGCCTCCCCGCGCAGCACCTTTTCCTCAACAACAGGTGATGCCACAATATGCTGGGGGAGATAACAACTACAACAGCAATATGAGCAATGTTCCTCCTCCCCAAATACCAATTCAACAACCTATTGTGCAACATTATCAGCCTCAACAACAGCAACAGATATATCGCCAGCCACCACAGCAAATTGCAATGGCTCCTCCGCCTCTTATGGGACAACAGCAAAATTATCCTCATCCGAGACAGCCAACAGAGCCTGTAAGTTAATTCGAAGCATATAAAATTTCAGTTTTTGTCAATCCATTAGGTATTCTTCGTTACTGACCAGCAACAGAATCGAATGATGGGACAGTTTCCAAAACAAGAACGCCAACGGCAACCCTTACATATTGAACCTCCACATTAATTATATTTTTTGATAAGAACTATTTTTTATTTTATATATACGATTTTTTAAGTAAATATAATGTTATTTTATGGTTTTTGCTTTAAGAGTTTGGGAACTAAATTTTCATTTTTTTAACTAAAATTTCATTTTCTAAGCTCTTATTCTACTTATATTGAACAATTTTTTTAATTAGTGATAAATTTTAATCAAAAAATAGTGAAAATACAATAAAATGCTAAATCTTTGCTGCAATTCTCAATATTTCAAGACAAAAGGTTTAAAACGACAAAAGAATGAAATGTCTTTAGATTATAAATTTAGATTAACATTAAGTCTATTTGTTATAATATAATGTTTAACAGCTTTTAAAAAGGTCACAGAATAAATTTATTCAATCAAACCTAAAAGCGATCACAGGAAATTCCAAATTCGACTAAATTGTATGGTTTTGATTTTAGTTGTGTTTGAGAGATTGAGGGGCGTGAATCTTGTGGATCGCCTATGGAGAGATTTTCATTCTTCAAAATGACCAGTAATATTTACCTATTCAGACGTCCATTTTGTTTAAATCGGTTACATTCTCTGTCGGATTTCCATAGTTAAGAAGCTCTCGGAATTCATCTTCATCTACGTTATTCCAATGCTCACCCATTGAATCTGAGAAATTGAAGCGACCTGCAGTTGCGTCATCTAAATTTTTGTATCATAAAATTTCTATTATTCGTAAAATTATCTTCATAAAACCTACCATTGTCCAAGTACGCATTTAAACCAGCAATCGAAGCAATTTCTTCATCATTCAACATCATTCCATCTGTAGTGAATGTGGGAACAGAGGCCGTAGGAGTGTGCAGAACTGAACTGCTATTATTATTAGTATTATAATTAACAGCGTCAAATGGCTGTTGTTGTATAAATTGTGACACCTAAAAATGTCAAAACTGGAAAAAAATATAAAGATGTTAGACCTGTTCCTGTTCGTTTGGTGCAACTGACGAAGAAGTGTGCATATATAATCCTTGTGGAGGTGCTGTCGGACATTGTCGTGATACTTCCTGCTGCTGAATGAAACGTTGCTCTTCCTGGTTCTGTTGTAGTTTTTGAGGTCTGACTGAATTCGAAGGTGGAGGCCGAAAAGTATTTGTTTGTTGTTGTTGATTTGGATTGATAGTAGTGAAGGAGATTTGAGGTTGATAAACAGGCATCGCCTGATTTTGTTGATTGTATAGAATTTGTTGTTGTTCCTTTGAATATTATAAAGCTATATTTAAAGAAATATAAAAAATACCTGTCCAGGAAATATAAGTCTCTTTCGTTCTTGAACATAACCATTAGTTGTTGTATTGTTTGGTTGAAAACAGTTATTTTGTGATGGCAAAATATGTTGTTGTTGAATTTGTTGGTTATTGCCAAAATGTCGTTGTTCAATAAGAGGAGAAGCAATATGAGGAGATTTTGCTTCATTATTAATTATTTGTTGTTGAGGTTGATAAATATAGCCAGTATTTATGCCATTATTCGCAGATGTGTCAGCCATAGAATTAACGCCATCCAAATCCTAAGATAAGATTTAAGAGTATAAACCTTGCAATAAAATTTAAACAGATAACCTCAATCACTTCAGCGATTATTGGACCATCAGAACACCCAGAAACTGAACGATCAGAACGTAAACTTTCTCTTTCTTCGCTCATAGTTTTTATTCCTTTCCCTGTATAAGGTTGAATTTGTTGATTATTTCTAACATTGTTATCCATCAAAAGATTATCTATTGCATCGAGTTCAGTAGGGATGTGATGATTGAATTGATCATATTGATGTTTCATTCCTTGTTTATGAGGAGAACGACCAAAAATCTTTTTAAGAAACAAACATTTATTGAAGATGGAATAAGTTACCAAATTTCCGGCTGACGAACTAAAACTTGTCCCATCACCAGATGTAATTTCATTGATGAGACGATCTAATATTTCCGAAGCGTTAACAGGTAAGATAGACTGGAGTTGCCCAATTGCATTATTAGAAGATTCACCGGTGTGATTAACAGAACGTTCAGAACTAAAAGAACAAATAAGAGTCAAAAAACACTTGAGGACAAACATTAGACGTTTTCCAAGTCGATTAGATTGTTTTCCATTTGGTCCTACTAACGCAACAAGGAACTGAATTAATTTATTTACCAACTGTTGCTGCTTCAAATGTGTTCCCTAAGAAAATTAGTCAAGATTAAAATTTTTAAAAAATGAGAAAATATTAAAGTCTCACGCGAACATGAGCCATTTCATTCCAAAGCATCTCATTTTCTCTAAAATTAAACAGAATAACTTAAGTATTCAAAAAAAATTCAAAATACTTGGTTAACTCCTCAATTCGAATTTCCGAATGATGCTGACGTTCACGCAACGTTCCCAACTCTTCAAGAATTTCAGTCATATCAAATGAGTTTTGTCCAACTCCACCATCCGCAACTTCCATTGGAATAGAATTATTGTTATATTTATGTTGATTAGAAGTTGGGGAATTCTTTCCTCCAGGTGCTTTTCTTTTAATATTCACAAGAAAATGTGGGTGGTCACGACGAAAATAAGGGTGAGCAAATTCTAAGTGATCTTGGTCAGATTCAGCGCGAGCTAATCCAGAACGGTCAATTGGTGTGTTCTTTCGGAAACCATCTAGAAAACACTCAAAATACTCCAATTATAATAATTTTTAGTCTAAAAAACATTAACGAAATAAATAAACATACACATATTCAATTGGCGTACAAGACTATTTAGATTCTTATGTTTGAAATACTGAGGAAGCACGTTGCTGCAAAATGCATAAGGATCCATTATGTGAAAGCTACGGCCGGACTGAAATATTAAATAATAAAAAATATGCAAATAATTCTAAAAACCTCATCCCAGCAAACAATGTCTTTGTATGCTTGACCTTCAACAATATTCCATAGTTTCACAAGAAATGCAGGAATTTTACGTTCATCATCTTCCTTCAAAAGATACGGCTTATAAGTCATTACAGGAAAATTATGTTGTCGATTATTATTGTAAGAAGAATTGGGGGGTCGTGGATGCCGCATTTTTTAAGATTATCGTCAATCTTAAAGATAAAAATTAAATTTCAATTGTTATAATATAGTGAACGACATATCTACGTTTTCGTCGATTCGCGGCGAATAACTACTTTTATTCGCGAACGACTTTTTTTTAAACACACAACGCCAGAACTACGTTAATATCGATGTTTTGCGCCAAACGATTGCGAATCGACTTTTTTGTGTCTCTTTTTCTCTAATTTCACATTATATTTCCTTTCTCTTTTTCTATTAATTTTCTATGTCGTTGTCTCTCCATTGGAATTCTCTCCATTGGACTTTCCTCTTAACATTTCTCGTGAAATGCTCCAACAATCCAAAATTCTTAAAGTGATCCGAAAGAATTTGGTCAAGAAGTGTATCGAACTTTTTGATGAAATTGCTGAAGACCAACTTTAAGAAATTTTATGAACAATTCAGCAAGAATCTTAAGGTTTTTTAAATGTTTTTTTGAAAATTATTTGTTCTTTAGTTGGGTATTCACGAAGATTCTGTCAACCGTAAAAAGCTTGCCGAATATCTCCGTTACAACACTTCCTCTTCTGGCGATGAACTTGTTAGCTTGAAGGATTATGTTGGACGAATGAAGGAGAATCAGACTTGCATTTATTATATTACTGGCGAGTCTAAAGAAGTTGTTCAAAACTCAGCTTTTGTTGAACGTGTTAAGAAGCGAGGTTTTGAAGTTTTTTAAGAAGCGAGGTTTGAAGCGAGGTTTGAAGAAGATAAAGTTAAATTTGAGAAACTTTGCAAAGTTATTAAGGTATTTAAGATTTTGTTTAAAGAATTTTGGAATATTTGTTTTATTTTTAGTGTTAGGCTTCTCTCTTGAAGATCCACAACAACACGCTTCACGTATTTACCGAATGGTAAAACTAGGATTGGATATTACTGAAGAGGACTTGGAAGGAGGAGAGCAACAACCCTGCACTTCTGGGGAACCTGTCGAAAAGATTGCCGGTGCAGAGGAGGACGCTTCGCGTATGGAGGAAGTTGATTAAATTAATGTAAAAGGTTTTGATGGATTGATCTCCTCGTTGACTTTGTTTTTCTTTAAATTTATTTTGTTTTGTCGTCCTTATAATTATTTACTTTGTTTTTGAATCACGGATACATAAATTAATTTCACAAAAAAGTTTGTCTTGATTTTTAATTTGAGATCTGTTTTAGGGGAGGTGGGGAAACAAACGGCAGGATCAAGGTAAGCAGCACATCTGATGATGGAAAGACTTTCCGGATTTTCAATGAAAATTTCACTCATCTTCCTGTTAAAGGCTTTCAATCCACTTTTGGCATCATCTCCTCTTACTTCTCCTCTCCATATAGTAAGAATATAGATATGTGGAAAAATCCCTAAAAATTACAGAAAAGGGACTGAACATTTATAAAAATGGAAAATTGTAAATTCCAAAGGAGAGACTACACGAACGAAAATTAATAGAAAAAGAGAAAGGAAATATAATGTGAAATTAGAGAAAAAGAGACACAAAAAAAGTCGATTCGCAATCGTTTGGCGCAAAACATCGATATTAACGTAGTTCTGGCGTTGTGTGTTTAAAAAAAAGTCGTTCGCGAATAATTGTAGATTTTTTTAAAACGACTTTTTTTCCTTAAGAAAAAGTCGATATGTCGTTCACTATTATAATATAAGGGGATAACAGGACGACGAAATAAGAAATCTGATACGGAAACTTGACGCGGTTAAGGACGATTCAGTATCGCCGATTCAGTATAGCCGATTCAGTATCGCCGATTCAGTATCCGCCGATTCAGTATATGGCCTTAACTTTCCTGATATCCGACCGATCTGAATAATTTTCATATCATTCGAAAGGTCTCGAGATTCGGCATCTTTTTCATAATTGGCCCGATCAGATCTGATGATCACAAAAAAAGTTACAGCGCGAAAACCGATTTTTTATGCCTGTGACGTCGTTTATCAGTGATAACTTTTTATAGAATGATCAGATCATGTCAGTCCAATTATGAAAAAGATGAGACACCCCGAGACCTATCAAATCATATATAATAATTCTTACAATATTGATCGAGCAAAAAGTTATGGCCAAAAAGCCCAAATACTGAATCGGCCAATACTGAATCGGCGATACTGAATTGGCGATACTGAATCGGCGATACTGAATCGTCCCCTACCCAACTTGACGAGACCGTTTAGGCGCAGACTAGTTTTTACAAAGCCCCATTTAGGCGCAAGGCACTTTCATTCTGTTCAACAGCAATGTTCTGTTCAATTGTTGACAAAAAGAAAGTTTGTCAAGATAAAACTTGGCTGTGTAAATAATTTGAAATATTTTTCTATTAATCATTTCCATTTGTAAATTTTGTTCTGTATTAATCTTCAAGATTTTAGTAATGGATTCTCATTTAAATGTTAATATTCATCCAGACAATGAGTTGGATCAACAACAAACACATCTTAAACAACCAAAACAGCAAGTAATTGAGGATGAAGAATGTAATGTTGAAGTTGTCTTAGACGATAGTCACCTGTTGCATATTCAGGAAGGAAATGAATTGCCGCCAGAAAATTCTGTTCAAGGTGAACTTGTAGAATTTTTGCGAGGAGTTACTAATTTCGGAAATCTTTGCATTTGGCATGAAGGTTAAATTAAATTAAAATTTGCTTTTAAAAATTAATCTTTGAAGGGTATCGTTACTCGAAACTTAAAGGACCTTACTGGCGTTGCTCCGATCGACGATGTCCAGCAAAAGCGATTGCGCGCGTGCAAGAAGATGGGAGAATTTTGGGTAAAACAAAGTTAGAGCATACACATTTTCCGCAACCAGAACGTCGACAAGCTGAACTGAAACGATACGAATTAAAGCAGCGTGCCTTAGAAGAACCAAATGCGGTGCGAAGTAGACTTATTGCTAATGTACGTTCTGAAGTTGATGATGAGACATTCGTTGCTATGGGCACTGACAATGCATTGGGGCTTATGACTTATAGGTATTTTTCTGTATTTTTTAATACGTTATTTTTAAATAGGGCAAGAACTAAGCTATTTGGAAGGGTTGGTGGAAAAGTAGAAGTTTCTTCCATAAAGATACCACTAATGTTAGTTGAAAGGAATGGCCATTCTATTTTACTTTATGATTCGAGAATACATCGACCTAATGATCAACAGACTGTGCTTGTGTTTGCCCATCCATATGTTTGTTTCTATATTTATTTTACAAACTTTTGCCAATTAGATGTTACAACAACTTGCCATACATCCATCTTGGACAATGAGTGGTTCACCCAACTCTGCACCTAAGCAATTTAGGCAATCTTTTGTTATTGGCGCAATTGTTCGAAATCGAGTCATTTTTGCGGCACGTGCTCTTTTGCAAGGTGACACGTCGAGTTATTATGAGGAAGCTTTAGACGTGATTGCTAATTCAATTGAGCCAACAAAACCACGTAAAAGTAAGTTGTATATTTCCTTTTTAGATTAATTATTGTTATTTTATGTTTTGTTACTTTTTAGTTATTTTGGATTACGACAATGAGATGGTATGTGCTGCTCAGAATGTTTTTCCGGAAGCCATATGCAGTGGCAGCTACCTTCGTTTTGCTCAAGCTTTGTTCCGAAAATGGAGAGAATTAAAACTTGGTACTCTTTATGGGAATGAAAAAGGTCAAGAAGGCAATGTTGCTAGAATGACTTTTCGGTTAGAATTTTAAGAATTCTTTTAACCTTCTTTTCATTTTTAGTCGGCTTCTTTGCTTGGCACTCATTCCTGCTGAACATGTCATTCGTGCTTTTTATATTATCGCTGAGCTTGCATCAATTCATGAATTAGCAGAATTTATTTATTTCTTTAAACGAACATATATTGGACTGACCGACTATGAATTTAAAATGAAGGCATTGGCATTTGGACCTAATTTTGAAGATAATTTAATGCAAGTTGAACAAACTGTTGCTTATGAAGGTTTTTATTCAATATTTTTCTTTTTTTATTTCTTTGTTCTTTCCTTATCAGGAGATGGGAATGTTAGCCATGTTGAACATGTTTATGCATCTCAACCTCATTATGAAACGGATCAGCCTTCGCATTCTTCAGTTGTTGTAACAAATATATCATTACCAATGAGTTTACAACCAATGAGTCATAGGCCTTATTGTCCAATAGAGTTTTGGAATATTCATGATAGAACTTTGTCTGCATTGGCTACAACAAATTATGCTACAGAGTCTACATATTTTCAGTTTAAGGTAAATAGAATTATATTTTTTCATAAATTGACTATTTAAAAATTTTTAGACCCAGCCTTTGTTGCCAGATTATTTGTTAGCGTTTTGGGACGATTTTGAAAAGCAACATGATGCTGCTCGTTCTGCTGTAACAAACAAACAAAAGAGACATAAGAAAAATGCTGTTCGTGAAGAGCTTGTTGCCTTAACTCTTCGTGAAGCTTCTTATGAAGCTGATCAAGATATTCTAAATACTTTAGATATCCTTTCTCATCATATTCAAGGCTATGTTAATTTCCTTCATTTTGATACTAGAATTGTTTATGATAATTTTGATAACTTTTTAAATGTTCCCTGCACTATTCCTAAATGTGATTATGATAATTTTTGTTCTCCTTCAACTTCAATGCAGAGTACTTCTTTTCGTTAACTTATTTTTATTTAATGTTTTATTGAATAAATATTATTTTAGAAAATTTTTTGTTTAATTCATTATTGGATGATGAATCTGGTTATTTTTGTTTAAATGTACGAATTTAAGAATAAATAAGTTAAATTTTTTATAGGAACGTCACTGGAATTCGCATGATACTTTGGCCATATGAGGCTGTTTTTGTTGATTGTTTGTTTATTTTATCAGATTTCAATTCTAATTTAAATTATTTTAGTTACTTTTAACGGCATATTCGCGCGAGGATGTGTTACAAATGGATAGTAGTAACATTGAAGAAGCATTAAAGAGGGAGTTGGTCCTTGTAAATTTCTATGCCGATTGGTGCCGATTTTCACAACAATTAAAGCCAACCTTTTTGCAAGCAAGCGATAGACTTAAGGTGGTTTTCCTTAAAATTATCACAAATATTCTGAAGTTCGATAAATTTAAATTTATAGGATAAACCTGAAGTTTTATTTGCTGCAGTAGATTGTGATAAAGAACGTAATCCTATTCATTTTAACAATTTATTCTTATTTTTCAGCAAGTATTGCTCATAAATTTAACGTGAATAAATACCCAACGATTAAACTTTTCCGACATGGAGATCTCATAAAAAAGGAATACAGGTTTTGTTTAATTTAAAATTTTTTCTTTATCCCTAATTTATTTTTGAGATCTCAACGATCTGCTGAGGCCATTGAAGCATTTATTCGTAAACAATTGGAGTCTCCAGTGCAATTATTCAATTCTGAAGAAGAATTGTCATCTAGAATTGAAGTATATATTGTTTATATATTGTTTAGCTTTGTTTTAATATAATTATATTAGAGCTCCAAACGCAATGTAATTGCCTATATTCTCGATGATCAAGTACAACCTTTACATTCAAACTATTACAAGTCAGCTTCATCGCTTCGGGAAGATTGTGGGTTTTGGCTTGGTTCTGGTGATTGGATTTTGCAGCGAGAAGACCAAATGCATAGAAATGCAACAATTTATTTTCGCGAACCAAATGTTGTAATTTTTTGAGATTCAATAAATTCTGAATTTTAGAAAGCGGCAGAGGGAAATTTTGAATACACCGGTCCATCGGATGATTATGATTATCTTAAGTACTTAATAATTTTTAAATTTATGTTTTATTATAATTTTAGAAATTGGTTAACAGACAAATGTGTCCCGTTGGTTAGAGAAATAACATTTGAGAATGCAGAAGAGTTAACAGAAGAAGGGCTTCCATTTTTGATTCTCTTCCGTCAAAGCGATGATATTGAATCAGAAAAACTATTTAATTCTATTGTAACAAAAGAATTATTTGATCAAAAAAGTAAAATTTAGAAAAAATTTTATTTTTTCTAAACAAATTATTTTTTAGATTCAATAAATTTTTTGGTCGCAGATGGAAAAAGATTTGCACATCCACTTCAACATTTGGGGAAATCTGAAAAAGATTTGCCACTAATTGCTATAGATTCATTTAGACATATGTATTTATTTCCGAATTTTGAACAGCTTGGGTAAAATTAATTTTTTTTAATTTTTATATAATTTTTTTAGCGAACAAGGCAAATTACGTCAATTTGTTTTGGATTTAAATTCAGGGGTGAGAATATAAAATAAATTTATTTTTATAATTTGGTACTTTTCCGTTCTGCCACACCCCCCTAAATTAATGTTCAAAATGTCATATATGGGGTAAAAAAGGTGCTGAGTCGAACAGTACCACTCTTTTCCTCGGAGATGCCTTCGGACCAAAATATTGTGCTCGAAATGGTCAAAACCCATAGGCGGGAGTAAGCTCAATTTTGGGATAAAAAATTCAAATATGCAAATATTACCTCATTCGAAAGAGCTCATGGTGCTGAGTCGAAAAACGCCAAAATTAATGAAATCTGATTTGATTTGACCGAGATACAGGTCTCTGAAAATTGAAGAACCACATATATTTTTGTATCGTAACTTGGTCCAAACTTATTAGACCGCGGTGATTTTGGTGTCATTCAACTCAGCTCGTTGAGCCCTTTCGAATGAGGTATTATTTGCATATTTGAATTTTTTATCCCAAAATTGAGCATACTCCCCTCAATGGTTTTTGACCATTTCGACCACAATATTTTGGTCCAAAGCATCACCGGGGGAAAAGAGTGGTACCGTTGGACTCCGCATCTTTCTTTACCCTAAATGTGACATTTTGAACATTAATTTAGGGGGGTGTGGCAGAACGGAAAAGTACCTATAATTTTTAAAGAAACTTCATCGTGAATTTCATCAAGGACCAGATGCTACACCAGAATCGCCTTCTGATGGTAAAATAACTCAACCACCATCTTCTGTCTTTAAACAGCTTAAACCCGCGGAGACTCGGTTTACTTTTTATTTTATAATCCTTAATAAAGTTATTTTTAAGTTACTCTTTTTCGGACAAGACAGAGCTTTAAAATTGTTGGCTTTAACTATATTGCAGGGATTGAGTTTTTTTTATTTTCTTTTTTGAAATATGTGTGGACACTTCATTGATTTATTAAGAAAAATTTTCTCCTGATTACGGTCTTTGTTTTTTTAATTCTCCTTTAGGTTTAAAACTCAGAAATACACAATTCTATTTCTTTTATTATTGTTCTTGTAATTCAGGATTTCTCCTAGTCATTATCTAAAATAGTATTTAAAATGGTGGTGAGACATTTGAGGACGGACATATGAGGACAGACATATGAGGACGGACATTTGAGGACGGACATATGAGGACGGACATTTGAGGACGGATATATGGAAAAAATAAAAAATAACTACAAAATTAGCCATTTTCCCGTTATTTCAATATTTGGCACTTTTTGCAAATTATTTCAATATTGTTGCAAATTTTTGCCAAAATTTTGTGAATTTTCATAAATTTTCAGAAAAAAGTGGAAAAAATTTGGGGATTGTTCTCAGAAATTTCCAAAATTTTCGCCTGCGGCGCTGAAAAGGGGAAATCCTAGCTTACTTAAAATAAGAAAAAATGTCCCAATGAATAAACCCGAAAATAAGCAAACCCTTAAAACATCCCATCTTTTGCCTAATCTCAAAATGTCCAATTGAGTAAAATACTCAATTCGTCGAGCTATAAACATAATATGCCTCGAAACACCTCTGAACATAAGCCCTCAAAACCTTCCACTGAAAAAAACTCAAAATCCACTAAGCATTCCCAGAATGTCTTATGTCCATCTGAAATTGCACAAAATACCTTTTCCTTAATTTTCTGTCCTGAAATGACGATTTTCTCTGGTTTCAAGCAAAATAAAGTTTTTTTTACTAAAATTAAGCTCTTTTTCATTTTATGTTACAAATAAATCATAATTTATTTCAATATTTCATTAATTTTTGGCATTTTTTGTTAAGATTTTGCCAATTTGTATATAATTTTGTATCCTCAAATGTCCGTCCTCATATGTCCGTCCTCGTATGTCCGTCCTCAAATGTCCGTCCTCATATGTCCGTCCTCAAAAGTCCGTCCTCATATGTCCGTCCTCAAATGTCTGCCTGCCTTTAAAATTTATTTAATTCAAATAAATTATTGGAAAATTAAATTGTGAAAAGCTTAACATTTTTGTTATTATTTGAATTATTTAAAAATTAACAATTTCCATCGAAAAATACTCTGATCTAGTTCTTTATTTATTGCCATATATTTTCGTTATTTCATGAAATCCTTTTCTGGTACTATAGTGAAACCTTTATAAGTGAGACGTAAATTTCTGATTGCGAGAGGCCAAAAGAGGTACTCTCAAAAATAGGAAAATTCAAGCAAAAATTTTAGAATTTTCTTTTCATCTTCTTATAAAGGTTTGATTTGTTTAATGTCTTTTATTGTTTCTTATATTGGTTAAATATTTTTTTAAATTTGTTTTTTAATTAAATTTTTATGCTTTTTACAACTTGATTATTTTTGAATAATTCCTAATTTTCTTTTTATTTATTTTGTTTTAAACAGGTTTATATATACAAATTTATTGAATGTATATTCTGCCAAGATTTATTAGAAATTTTAGTCCTTTCAAACGAAGCTTTTCTCCACAAATTTTTGGTAAAAATAATTTTTGAATTAGATTAATTTAAATAATTTCTTTAAAGAAGCAATTGTGGAATCTCAGCAACAACATCCAGTCGAGCTTCCAAATGAAGTTACGAAGATGCTCGGTTCACTGAAAGTGAGTTTATATTCTATGGAAATTATGTTTAATTCTTAAAAAGGATGACATTCTCGAATCATTAATGGAACGTACAATGGTGAATGGATTGGCAACATATACAGACAATCCATTTAAATTTACTAAAGAATTACGTGAGATGTCGAGATATTATTTTGACAAGGGAGGAAAAATGATTCGGCCTACAATTTCTTTACTTATGAGTGCTGCTTGTAATCAACAAATGTGAAAATTTTTAAATAAATTATTTAATTGTTAAGAGTTTTTTTTTATTTTTAGGGCTTCTTCGGCAAATTCTATAGCTGATATTAGTCTAAACCAATATAGAATTGCAATTGTGGCTGAAATGATTCATAGTGCTACTTTGGTTTTTATAATAATTTTTTAATAAAATTTGTATCATAAAATTAGGTTCATGACGATGTAATTGATGAATCCAATACAAGACGGGGACAGCCAACGACAAATGCCCGATGGGGAAATAAAAGAGTTAAAAAAGAAAAGATTTTCTTTTTTTAATATTATTTTTTAAAGGCAATTCTTATTGGAGATTTTATTCTTGCACGTGCCACAAAAGTTCTTTGCAGCATTGGACAACCACAAGTAATTGAAACAATGGCAGTAATTGTTGAGGATTTAGTTAAAGGAGAATTGTTACAATTAAACTCTCCACGTAAGAAAATTAAAAAAAAAAGATTTTTTAATTAAAAATTATTTTAGCTCAATCAAAAAATGCTCGTTTCAAACATTATATGACAAAAACTTTTTATAAGACAGGCAGTTTATTTTCAAATAGTTGTAAATCTGCTGCAATGCTTTCTGGTATAAAGAATATTTTTTTGTTAAATGATTTTTATTTTTTTAAATTAAAGGATGTTCAGAATCTACCCAACATTTAGCTAGTGAATTTGGACGTAATTTGGGTCTAGCCTTTCAATTAATTGATGATGTCCTTGATTATGTTGCCTCCGCATCCGAATTGGGTAAACCTACAGCTTCTGATCTTCGTTTAGGATTAGCAACTTGTCCAGTTAATTTTTTTAAAAGATTTTCTCAACAAAATTTTTATTTTTTTAAAGGTTCTTTTTGCCGCAGATGAATTCCCTGAATTAGATCCACTTATTGAACGACGATTCTCCCAACCTGGAGATGTTGAAAAAGCACTTGAATTAGTTAAACGCTCAAATGGATTACAAAACTCTAGAAAATTGGCAAGGCAACACGGAGAGGCGGCAATTGAAAATGTGCTTATTTTTAAAAATTATTGTTATAAAATCATTTTTTATAGATTCGCCAGCTCCTTCCTCAACGAGGTCAAATACATGATTGTCTAGTCAACAGTGTACTTAGACAATTGGAAAGGCAACGATAGAAAAATAATTTTAGCTTCTCTGTTATATTAATTTGTTGAAACTTTTCCCCCTTCCGATTAGTTTTTGTTTCCCATTGCTCCTAAAAATTTCCTCAAAAAATTTTATACCTAGAAATTTTTGATAAATTCTTAAATAAAGTTTTTCTCCTGTCCAACTTTTCTGTACGAATGTTTGCCTCTTTTCGAACTTAACTGTTATTCTTGTTTACATCAACATCGGACAACCCTCGGATATAACAATGGGAATCTTTATTAGTCTTTAAGTAAAAATATTTAAATCAAGCATTAAACATTTTATTTAATTTAAATATATCATTATTATAAAGTCAAATTGTTTTTATCTTAAAATAGTTAAAAACACTAATTTCTTAACAAAACCAAAAATATTAAATAAATTTAAAATATAAGATTCAAACTTAAAAGCCTTTTCTGGTCAATTTTCTTATTTCTATTGAAAAACACTGCTGTCATCATCGTCATCGTCAATATTGTAAACAACAGTTTGTGTGTTATTGCTATTTACAAAGATTAAATAATTTTAAAATAAATTTCTTTACTTATTTTCTTGTCGAATATTTGCCTCTTTTCGAATTCGTCCCAAACTAACGTCCAATTTGTTTTTCTCATTTGGATTCAATTTTCGTGGAAAAAACATTCCAATATTATTTTTATTCCCACCAATAATGTCAGAAGATTGTGTCGGAATATTATCATTAGAATTTAATTCCTCCACAGAATTTTCAATTAAATTTTGTTTTTTATAAATTTTTGGAGCTAAAATAAAAAACAATTTTTTTAATTCTTTAATAGGTTATTACATTGATGTTTTTCATATTTTTTAATTTCTTCAAAGTCTCCTTTCAAATTGGCTGCCTCAACATCATAACGTCTAGTAATTTCGGCCTCAGTTGCTGCCGGAGATCCTTTATAATCTAATACACATATTTTTATATTTAATAATTTTAATTAAAATTAAATGTGTTTAAGTCATTTAAATTATAAAAATATCTTTTTGTTTTATTATTTTTATCTAAAAATTGTTAAAATTTTGTTACATTTTTGTTATTTCTTATATTATTATTTTGTTATTATTTTGATTTAATCAAAATTTAATTATTATTTTTATCAAAATTATTTGTTAATAATCCATTTAATATTTTATAACAATTTTAGAATTTAATTATTTATTTTGTTAATTTAAGTATAATTATTTAAACATTATTCTTTTTTAATTTTAAAAACCTTTATTTTGTTGTAAATCTACATCTTCCAAAAATGCTTCCAAATCAAAATCATTGCCCTTAATTACACAGATGGTCCAATTTGTTTATTTTTAAATTATTACATTATTTTATTTGTTTTAAATTAAATTTATTTTATATTTATTTCTCCAATTTTTAAAAATTCTTATAAAGAATTTTATTATTCTTATATTTATGAGAATTTATTATAAAAGAATAATAAAAACATTTTATGTATTATTCTTTTAGGTTTTTAAATTTTTGATTAATTTTTTCTAAATTTCAATTAATTTCTTTTAAATTAATATAATTTATTACTTTTTTTTATAATTTTTAAAAATTAAATTACGGGAATAAACGCTTTATGAAGTAAATTTAAAACTGCAGCCATTCGCATATGGGCAATATGCGGAACAGAATAAACATCAACTCGAACATGCAAACTTTTTTTTTCAAAAATTTATTTAAAATTTAAATAAAAATATTTACGGTCCAGCAAAATGTGCATAACGAGGGTCACCAGAAGTAAGCAATTCAATTTCCTAAAAATTTTTTTAATTCACAATAATTTATAAAACCTGTGTACGATCCTTTGTAGAATGTGCTCCTTGAATAGACAAAGAACATTTATATTTTTTACAAATTTTTTGCAAAGTCAATCCTTTAACGCCAATTAAACGTCCAACAAAATTAATCTTTAAAAGGAAAAAATTTTTTAAAAATAATTAAAATTTAAAAATACTTTAGGATATCGATAAGTCGGTACCAAAACATAACGACAAATTTTAATTCTTTTATTGTCCAATTCTAACCATTCAGTATTATAAGATTCTTCCAATCTACTAATTTCTAAAAAATTATATATTTTTTAAAAAATATTTCTAATAATAAATACCTGCATTCAAAAGTCGTTTAGAATGATTTAAATTAACATTTATTGGGTCATCCAAAGAATTGATAAAATTTGTTTCTTGTCGCATTTCAAATGCCAAAAACTTTAAACAAAAATTTAATTAAAAAAATATTTAAAAAATAACAAACTTTGCTCTCCTTTTCCAAAGGACTAACAGTTGGTATCATTTCTGACTCATAACGGTCAGATAACGGAATACTAAATCTTGCATTCGAAACAGCATAAAAATAAATTTAAAAATATTTTTTTGATTATTTTTAAAAATACCGAAACAAAAGAAAATCGAGGCTGTTTAGCAGCTAGAGACATATGAGATTCATTTGTTTGTAAAGAATTATTTCCAACAGTTCGTTTAATTGTAACAGGAGGATCGTCAAAAAATTGCTAAAAACACAAAAAAATTTTTTTAATTTAAATTATTACCCTCTTTCTAGTTCCATAAATACTAATTGGTAAAGATTGACGTTTCAGTGAACTTTCAATGGTTGCAGACTGATGAGACAAATCATTATTGTCTGCATGACGTGCACTCTTAAAACGTAAATTTTGAATTTATTTCCAAGCGGAAATGAAATGTTAACATTAAATATTTGAAAAGGGAACATCGGTTACTGTGAGTGAGAATATGATAATATTTTGATACCATTCGATAGAGGACACCCGACTTCCTATGATATGGGTCGAGTTGTATCCATTCAAAGTGTGGCCGCTAGTCTGGAGCTATAGGACAACTTACGCACCGCCTGACTTAAAAAATAAAAATATGATTAACACCGCTGTGCGCCAAAATAACCACACTCAACCACACACAAGGACTGAAACTTTGAATGACCATTACTCGGCCCAAACTCATTTTGCAAGAAAACAGACATCACTTATTGTTAGCAACAGGAAGTCGGGGTCCTGTATCGAATGGCACCAAGAACAATACAACTTTTTGTACACAGTAACCGATGTTCCCTTATTAGGGAGAATTGTGGTTAATTAACAAAACTCTCACACGATGAAGTAGTTGCAGATTAAGTCCGGATGAGAAAAAGCCACCAGCAACATCTTGATTCTCATATCCCTCACCTCTTTCCGAAACAAGTTTTCGTCCTCTAAAATTTTATTTTGAAATCTCTGGTGTAAAAAGAAAAACCTTTCAAAAACTCCTCTATTTTCTCTTCCCCCTCCCTCAGACAATCTATTTTCAAAGAAACGAGTCCCGTTTGTTGATCGATTGAAAAATTGTGTCGATTCCACCCTTCCAAACGAATCTGTATAATCATCAATACGGCTACGAGATCGAGCAAATCCAAATCCACCAGGAACAGTCAGAGAACTCTGCTCGTCTTTAAATTTAATTTAAACTTTTCTCTCAAATAAATTCTCATACTTAAATTACTATTTGTTCCCCATCTAATACCGCTACGTTCAGATTTTACTGTTCGACTTCCTTCCATTTGAAATGCTGAAGTTCGGTGGTCATCATAAGGTTCAGGACTACTCTCAACCAAATCAATAAACTGAAAATGAATTTTAGAAAAAAAATTCAAAAATATTAAACTTACATCCATTGCTCAAAAAAATAAGTCAAAGTTATTGCAAGATAATAAAAAAAAATAAACGAAACAAATTTAAGAAAAATATAATTCTGAAAAATAAGGGATAAGTTTTATTAATTTGGGTGCACCCCGTTTATCGAATGACCCTTATAACGACAATAAAAAGTTTTCTTTAAATTTAATATTTTTTAAAGTATGAGGAATTTCGTGTACGCCGTATGTGGGAGTTATCGATATTTTAGTTTGCAGCGTTTACCTTCTTACAACGGTGGGGTATCATTCAGCGCCCACGATTCAGCGCACACGTTTCAGCGCACACGATTCAGCGCACACGATTCAGCACCACCACGATTCAGCGCACACGATTCAGCGCACACGGTTCAGCGCCAGTTATAGAAGGCACGTTTCAGCGCCCATCAATTCATTTGCATGAGTTCGACGAACAGAGTCAAATTACCGAGACCAAGTTGATTTGTAATTATGCACAAACCTATGACCAACAGAATCTTCGCTGGAAAAACTGTTTTTGTGCTGCTACGGAGGGTAGGCCGGGCATGGTCTTCGCTACACGATGGCCGTGCTTCGCTGCGGTCGTGCTCGCTTCGCTCGCGGCGACCGTAGCGAAGCGGCGGCCGTCGTTCCGCTCGACATGCCCGGCTTCCTCCGCAGCGGCAAAAACTTTCCGCGTAAATTTTTTGAAATGAAAAGAAAAATATTGAAGCAAAGTTGATAAGTTGATAAAAAAATATGTAGAACTTTTAAAAAAAGTTGATAAAAATAAAAAGTTAATAAAAAAAGCTGATAAAAAAAAGTTAATAAAAAAACGAGAACAATGATTTTTACTTATTTTTTGCTAATGTAAATAACTGGCGCTGAACTATAACTGGCGCTGAACCGTGTGCGCTGAATCGTGTGCGCTGAATCGTGGTGGTGCTGAATCGTGTGCGCTGAATCGTGTGCGCTGAATCGTGTGCGCTGAATCGTGGGCGCTGAATCGTGTCTAACCGTTCTTACAAGGTTTGTAAAAAAAATTTTTCCTTTGTAAATTTTTCTTCCTGATTTTTTCGTCCCTGAGACTCAAAAGGGATTAATTTTATTAATTTTTCTTTTTTGTTTTTTTTTCTTAAAAAACGGTTAAGGACGATTCAGTATCGCCGATTCAGTATAGCCGATTCAGTATATGGCCATAACTTTCCTGATATTCGACCGATTTGAATAATTCTCATATCATTCGAAAGGTCTCAAGATTCGACATCTTTTTCATAATTGACCCGATCTGATCTGATGATCACAAAAAAAGTTACAGCGTGAAAACCGATTCTTTATGCCTGTGACGTCGTTTATCAGTGATAACTTTTTGTAGAGTGATAAGATCAGGTCAGTCTAATTATGAAAAAGATGCAGCACCCCGAGGCCTATCAAATCACATATAATAATTCCCACAATATTGATCGAGCAAAAAGTTATGGCCAAAAAGCCAAATACTGAATCGGCCAATACTGAATCGGCGATACTGAATTGGCGATACTGAATCGGCGATACTGAATCGTCCCCTACCCCTTAAAAAATACTTTTATTTACTGTATTTTATGCGATTTGTTCGAAACATTCAAAAGTAAATTTTAATTAAAAACATTTGAAATTTTCACATTATTATATTATTTAAGCTTTTTAATGGAGAATTCTTTAAAACTTTTTGAATCTTTCCTTCTTTGGAGTCGTCGCTCAAATACGTCAAAAATTTTGAAGATGAATGATTTGTTGTTAAACAAAAATATTTCCGAACTTCATTCAAAACAAGAGAATCGATTGTTTTCAACTTCATCTACAAAAATGGTTTTATTTTTTCTTTTAAATTAAATTTATTTTTTTATTAGGCTGCTAGAAAGCCGATGATTAAATTTTTGGGCCGACGTTCTCCACAACCTAAATTTGATCCTTCCATTTCAACTACTCAACAGCAAAGCAAACAACCAAACAACAAGGAAAATAAATTAGAATCTACAGCAAGTATTGAATTCTATCAATTACCTGAACGTTATAAACCCAAACCTTTGAGTGAACAAGAAATTCAAATTATTAATGTTTGTTTATTTTTTCTTGTAAAAAATTTTTTTTAATTTTTCAGAGTGGAGGGTGTCCAAACTAAAAAGGATATCTTTAACTGTTGCTCAAAATAGTTGTTTCTTTGAATAGTGCAGTAATATATAAAAATACCCATATATTAAAGAATATAGAAGAATTTAAATAATTAAAATATATTCTGTTCTTTTTTCCTTTTTTTGTTATAAAAATTAAAAAAAATTTTCTTTAATTAATTAATTTATTTTATATTTATTTGAATAATATTTTAAAAGAATTTATTGAATTTTTTATTGGATAATTTTAATATTTTATTTGTTATAAATTTATTGGGTAATGACCAATCAACATTCCAAATTTTGTGGCAATACGTGCCCTTCTACATCTACATATGTTTTGACAAACAGGTTTATTTTCGTTTAAAAAAATGTCCACTGACAATGAGTGCTTTTTCTTAAGTTTTAATTTTTTTTTATTTGACTATTATACCTTGTGACTGCTCATAAATAGATTATTTTTAGATATTAAATTTAAATATTTTTTAAAGTTCCTGTTCCCAACAGCAATTAGAACATTCTTCTGAATTAGCTTCTCTTACATCTTTATTAGTCCATCTTTGCTTGACGGGTTCAGATGTTTGTGAACAACAATCAATTGCTTCTTTTATTTTAAAAAAATTTGAAAAAGAAATTAATAAAATGTCGACAACTTTTGAGTTTTTAATTTTTTTAATTAAAATTTTTATTTTTTTTAAAAGTTTTCTCGAAGCTTCTCCTATTTTTATTTCTTCGCCAACAACTTCTAAATCAGAATTAATTGGAACAAAAGAATTCAAAACAAAGAAATTACCTAATCGAAGTTCAGTAAAATCATTAATTTCGTTTTCTGGTGAAAATGAAGAAGAAAAAATTAAGAAAAAAAGTGGAAATATTTCAAAAAATATTGAATTAAATAAATCTTTTAAAGAAGAAAAACAAAATCAGAAAAAGGTTTTTTAATTAAAAAAAATTAAATTTTCATTTTTTAGCCATTAAAATCATTTTCTGGAAGATTGTCTAAATCAAAAAGTTTAAAAACTAAAAATTCTTTTAAATCCCCAAAAAACGAAGAATCATCAAATTCTCTACAAAGACCTTCTTCAAAACGAAAAATTAAACAAAAATCAAATATTGGTGGAATGTTAAAGTCTAAAAGTGAAATAAATTTATTTGCTAAAATATCTGAAAATAAAAGGTTTTTCTTTAAAGTTTTTAAAGTCTTGATTTTTAAATTTTATTTCTTTTTTTAGTAAATTACGTCGTCCAAATACTACAAGTGGAGGAAATTTAACAATTAAAAAATTAAAATCGCCAATTCGTTCATCACATAAAAGTAGACAACAACAAAAAAGAACATTCTCTTTTGATAATAAAAATGATAAGCAATTATTTAAAAAAGAAATAAATTCAATAAATAATCCAACATTGTTAGAATATATTATTAAATCTTTTGAAGTAAGAAAAAAATTTTTGAAATTTAATTCTTTTTACATTTTTTTAGTTTACAAATGATTCTTTGTGTTTGTTTGTATTTTGTAAATTAATTAATGGATATATTGAATATTGCGAGATTTCAGGTAAAATTATATTTTTTATTTTTTAAAAATTAATTTTTTTTAGTTAAACAAAATCGTTTACGTTTTCTTGTCAAATTAGATTTAATTAGCCATCTTTTACGTGTTATTCGAAAACGTTTTGAGTTTTTTGAAAAATGGGAAATTTTAGATAATTTAATTGTTGACTTTTTGGCAAAAATAATTTTGTTAATTTCCGAAAAAGGTTTTTCTTTTAAATTTTAATTAATTGTTTTAAAATTTTAGATAAAAAATTTGTTTTAAAAGTTAGATTAAGGTAATTATTTGAATTTTTAATTAAATTATTTTTTAAAAAATTTAAAGTGGTGTTTTAACTCTTTTGGCAAATTATTTATTTTTTAATGATTCTATTGACAAACAAAATATTAATTTATTTAAATTATTAATTAAATCACTTCAATCAAGTAAATTTTTAAAAGAAAATATTTTCTTTAATTAAAAATTATTTTTTTAAAGTTAGAAATGCTCAAATTTTGACTTCCGAACATAATTTTATTAAACGCTTTGTCAATACTTTGGATGTCTTTAATTCTTATTCAATAAATTGTGAGAATATTTGGATTTAAAAAATATAAATTAAGGGCTTAAAGGGGAATATTTAAATTGTAAATCAAAACTTTATACTTTTTTGTAACAATCGATAGAGCATCATCGATTTACTCCAGAAAATTTTTGGCTTTCTTTTCCAAGAAATATGATGCTATAAAGTTATTAGGCTTCAAAATTTGGCAAAAATCGGGGTGAAAAGGGAGGGAAAAGGGTCAGCACCGTTAAAAATTCAAAATGGTTCGTCACTAGAAAAGGTGGGAAGTAAAAATTTCTCTCATTTACGGGAGTCTGAAACAATCCTAATTTTCGCAAACTTTGAATAATTTTAGTTCCTTGAAGAAAAAACTAAAAATTTTCTGGAGTAAATCGTCAAAAAAGTATAAAGTTTTGACTTCAAGTTTGGAAAAAATTAATATAAGAGTTCGAATTAATTTCTTATCTTTTGGCATAAAAAACTTAAAATTATTTTATAGCACTCGAAACAAAACAAGAAAATTTGTCTCAAAAAGAAATTGTTGTCAATCAAAATCAAAATTTATTATTTAATAATTTTATAGAGGAAGAACAAATAATTCTAGATAATTCAGATTTGTGTTCATTAAAGATGGCTAAATTACTGGAATGTTTAATTATATTTTCAAAAAATCGTTAGTTTTTTTTCTTAATTTAAAAAAATAAAAGAAAAATCAATTAACTTGAAAAGATCAAAAAATCTCTTTCATTTTAATTTACTGAAAAAAATTTTTTTGATGCAACAAATCTTTAAAATTAACCTTTCTTTTTTCTTTTTTTTTCAATTTATTTGTGTTCATTTTTTCTTTTAAATTAAAAAAATAAAATATTTTTTTAGAAAAAAACAAACTTTTATTTATTCGACACAATATTCTTCCAATTTTAAAATTAATTTTTGAAACAAATTTCCCCAAACGTTTAATTAATTTAAATTATCAACAAATTGTTTTTATTTCTTTGGCTACTTTGAGGCAATTTGCAAAAATTGGTAAAAAAGAAAATATTTTAATTTTTAAATTTATTTATTTTTAATTTAGAAGAATGTCGAGAACAACTGTTTAAATTAAATATATTAAAAATGTGTGAAAATTTTATTGAAGATTTGGCTGGTAATTTTAATGAAAGAAAAACAAAAGTTGAAAAAATGGAAAGTTTTTTGGAAAATAATTTTAAAGAAAATGGTGGGGATGATGCTCAATTATATGTAAATTTAAATTTTAAAATTAAAAAAAAATAATTATTTTTTTGTAGGATTCACTTTGTTCTTTATGTTTAAGATGTTTACCTTCAAAAGAATTTCCTTACTGTTTAGATGATTTTCCTTTAAAATTTGTTCTTCCTTTAATGTTTTTCTTTAATTTAATATAATTTTTTAATTTATTTTTAAGAGAAACAAAAAACAAAAAAGTTTTGTCCAAATTACCTTCTTCTTCTTCTCAAATTGTTAATAATTGTAAATTGTCAAATTTAGTTGATGAAAGTGGTAAATAAATTAAAATTAAAAAATATTTTTTTAAATGAATTTAGATGAAGATTCGAATCTTTGGCCGTTTAATTCTTTTTCTTTAAATAATTTTGAAGAGGAGGAGGAGGATGGTGAACAAAATAATGAAGGATTGACAAATAATAAAGGAAAGGAAAAAAATAAAAAACAAAAAAATAATTTATTATTACCTCCAGATATTAGCCAATATAGTCGATTACAACAAAATGAATTAATTGTAAGTTTGTGGAAAATTAAATATTTTTATAAAAATGTTTTGAAAATTTATTAAAATAAAAAAATTCTTTTCCTAAATAATTTCCTCAAAAAAATTTAATAATTTTTTTAATTTAAAAGAAATATCAAAAATACTTCCCAGAATTTGGCCTTGAAAGTTGTAAACAATTAATTTGTGATGAATTTACTACTAACGATTCCTTTCAAATTAATGAATATAAACAAATTGTTTCGAAAGAATGGAAGGTTATTTTTAATTTTAAAATTTTAAATTAAATTTTGTTTTTAAAAAGAAAATTAATTCTGTTGGAAATTTTGTTAAAATTGCAAATCCAGAATTGTTTGATTGTGGGGATTTAAGTAATGGAAAAGAAGAAAATATTTTTGAAAATTCTTTAAATAATTCAATCAAGTAATTTTTTAATTAAAAAAAATTTAAAAAATAATTTTTTAGACAAATAATTTCTGAAAAATTAATTGAATATAAAAAGGGGGAGAAAAAAGAAGAAAAAAATAATTATTTGCCTCGTATTGTTTTTGATTTAAATGGAAAAATAAATAAAGAACTTTTAAATAATGATTGTTTAAATTTTGAAAGCCGTTTTGAATCTGGAAATTTGTGGAAAGCTATACAAGTAATTAAAAATAATTAGAGAAATTAATTCTAAAATTAATTTTTAGGTAGGCACAAATAAATACGAATTAATTATTTCTCCAGACATTAATCAACAAACTTTACATTTTCAATGGTTTTATTTTGAAGTAACAAATATGCGTGCTGGAATTCCTTATATTTTTGAAATAATTAATTGTTTTAAAAATATATCAATGTTTTCTAAAGGTTTATTTAAATTAATTTAATTTTTAAAAATAATTTAAAAATTAAAAAAGGAATGCAACCAGTTTTATTCTCTTCAATTGAAGCAAAAAAAGGAAATATTGGTTGGAGAAGGGCTGGAACAGAAATTAGTTATTTTAGAAATTTATTTAAAATTCCTAATGATGATGAAAGAAAAGAAAATAAAAAAATTGGAAAAAATGTGAAATACAAAACTATTTTTTTTAATTAAACTATAAATTTTTTAGGAAAATTCTGTTAATTCAAAAAATAATGGAAAAATAAATAAATCGAAAAAACAAAATAATGAAGATTTACAAATTATGGAAAAAAGGTAATTTATTTTAATTATAAATAATGAAAGGGGAATGGGGGGGGGAAGGGATATTGGTAGTTATTTTTGTGGGTAAATCTTTGTTTAAATAAATTATTGAAATTAATTATCAAAAATGGATAGAACATTTAAAATAATGAAAGAATTAACAGTAAATTATCATTTTATTTCGTTAAGATTTTTTAAATAACTCCAAATAAATAATATTTTTTTAAAGAAATTTTTCTTCTCTTCGTTTCACTTTATGTTTTCCTCATGATGAAGATGTTTGTTATATTGCTTATCATTTCCCTTATACATATACAAAACTTCAAGTATTTCTTTCTTTTCTAAAAATTATTTTTAATTATTTTAAAAGTCAACAATTGAATGGTGGATATCTTCTTCTTCCTCCTCTTTAAATTTATTCTTTTATCGTCAAAAACTCTGTTCAACTTTAAATAAAAATTCAATTTCTTTATTAACAATTACAACAAATAAAAATATAAAATCAAAACAAATAATTTTAATTACTTCGCGTGTTCACCCAGGAGAATCTAATAGTTCTTGGATTATTCATGGTTTTTTCAGGAAAATTTAAAAAAATATTTAAATTAAAGGTTTTATTCAATTTTTATTGTCTTCACATCCTTTGGCTATTCGTGCACGTGATTTATTTATTTTTAAAATAATTCCAATGCTAAATCCAGATGGGGTAATTAATGGAAGGTACATTTTATTATTAGAAAATTACAGTAAGGGGAAATTATTCAATTAATTAATAGAGAATAGTGGTCATTGTTTTAGAGGATTTGTTAAAATAATTCATTAATTCCCAACTCAATTTTTTTTAGCTAATTGTAAAATATTTTATAACAGTCATCGTTGTTCTCTTGCTGGACAAGATTTAAATAGAGTATGGAATTGCCCATCACCTATTTTACATCCATCTATATTTCACACAAAAGCATTAATACAATATATGGTGAGGGGGAGGGAATTGAGGGGTTTTAATTTAATTTTTAAAGGTTGAAATACTCAAAATGCCTCCATTTTCTTTCATTGATTTACACGGACATTCACGTAAACCAAATATTTTTATGTATGGAAATAATCCGTTGGAGTCGTGGTGTCCAACAGATATTACAAATAATTCTCAACAATCAAAAATATTTTCTCTTCTCCCAGAAATTCTTTCAAAAGTTTTTTTAATTTAAATTAATTTAAATTTTTATTTTTTTAAAAAGTCTTCTGATTCATTTTCATTAAAAGACTGTTCATTCTCAATTACTAAAGCTAAAGAATTTTCTGCACGGGTATCTATATGGCGTCAATTTAAACTTGAACGGGTTTATACTTGTGAATCTAGTTATTTTGGGTTTGATTTTGGATCAAAAGCCGGAACTCAAGTAAATAAAATTTTTTGAAAAATAAATTTTTCTTAATTTAAAGATAACAATAACTGATTTAAAAAGAATGGGTGCAGAATTGGTGGAAGGATTGGTATATCTTAAAGAATTTAATAAAACAACAAATCTCCCAGATGAAACCGACCAAAAAATTTAAATTACGTAGGAAGAATACAAGCATATCAAAGAATATATACCCACACTTTTTAGATTTATCTAATATATATTTTATGTTATTTTAATTCGTGCAAAATTTATTAGAATGCTAGAAAAATATTCGTGAACAATTTTTTTGTAATATAAATTATAAATATAAAAATATTAGTTTACGAAAAAAAATAAAATAATTTAAATTTAGCAATTTAAAGTTTCTTTAAAAAAGTGAATGTCAATTATTATTTTTTACGTCAAAGTGCACTTCCTTCATGTGTTTCCCCATTTCCATAATGTTGGGATTGTGGTTGGTATATAGGTGGAGGGAAATGTCTAATTGTTTGCTCATTATTCTCATTAATAACATAATTATTTAAAATAGTAAAAAGTTGATTGTTTTGAGCTTGAACTCGACGTATTCTGTCAATTAATTGGCTAATTTCCTTTAAAATTATTTTTAAAAACTAATTAAAATTTAAATAAAAAACAATTTTTTGTTGAGAAGAACCCAACTCCACATGTTCTTTTCCTTCAATTTGTGCCCCAACAGTTCTATTAACACGTAATAAATGATAACAAAAATCCAAAACTTCAAATCTTCTATGTTGGCCCAATAAACGAATTAATAAACATCCTGCCCAGTAAATACCATCACCAAACAATTCTTCAATACTTAAACCTTGCCAAAGACTTTCTACAATAGTTGGAGAATTATTAACATTTGTTGTTATTCCTTTCTTTAATGTACTATAAATGTCTTCTGTAGATTGGCCAGAATTTTGATTAATATTTGTTTGATTAAAATAAGCAAGACATAAAATAAATTGAAAACTTGACCTTAAAGAGAATAAATTAAAATATTTTAAATTAAATTAAAATAACCATATTCTATGAAATTCAACACATTCATCTATCCACATAACTCCATTTGAAGGTTTTGGTCCAATCCAAATAGGATCTGCCAAAAGAGTATCTCTTAAACGATTTAAAATCCTTTTAAAAATTAAAAATTATTTTTAAAAATTTATTTTAATTTTTTACATTCCAAAAATATTAAGTCCACAACAAAGCCTTTCTCTTGTTAATAATTCACTTTCAGCAGCAACTTTTGCTTGCTAAAAATTTAAAAAGAATATTAAAAAAGTTAGAATAATTGTTTTCTTACAGATTCAGTTCCAAATTGTTGACAAATAGAAGAAATTTGAAGACGAGAATATTTTGCTTCTAATCTTTGAATTTTTAATTCTCGTTCTTCAGAAGCTAAAAATTAAAGTTAAAAAGATAAACTAAAAATCATGCACATTTTGCATAAGGTTTTGGAATTTGGCCAGTAAATGTAGATGCAGCAAGTAAATCAAACATTTCTTCATGAGCCAAACCCATCTCTAATCCAAGTATAAATGTTATAATATTTCCAAATTCACGCAAAGATTGACAAAATTCTTTATGTAAATGTATATAACCAGAAAATGTTCTTAATTGATGAACAAAATATTGAAGATTACCTAAAAATTAAAAAAAATATACCTAACAATAAGTTGTAAAATAAGTCAAAATTTCAAGCACTCAAATGTATTATTTTAAAAATAAATATATTAATTACCTTCAATTCCATAATCAAATCTCTGTAATTTACATTGTTTTGGTGCTAATCCAAACAAGACTCTAACATGTGTTTTAATTTGGTCATTTAATAATCTTCTTGCCGAACTTAATAAATCTCCAAGAATAGCCGCAATACCCTAAAAAAGATTTTTAAATAAATAATTATTTATTTAATTTACTTGATAACCAATTAATTTTGCCATTACTCTAAAATGTGGAATACCAATAAACCCGCTATACATCATTGAAAGGTTATAAAAAGCAGCATTTAAAGATTTTGATCCAAATTCATATTGAGCAGCTACAGTTGGTGGACGCCCTCTATCTGGCGGATTTCTATAATTAACCTGAAGAAAAAAAGAATTTATCGAAATTTAAAACTTTTTCCAAAATTAAAAACCGGATCAGAACTTCTTAGAGGTTTAAAAGGCCATGGAAATGTCCCAACAGGTCTGTGAGAGTTTATCTTCATCTCCGGTAATTTAAAAGAATATTTCTCAAAATAAACAAAACACTAACCAACTTAACTACAAACGTCTTATGTGCTCGTCACAAAATTTCTTTTAAATTTATTTATTTCATTTACCTTCCCCCTAACAAATCTTTTAGTTGTTGTATTATAACAAAAATTTGGAAATAAATCATCATTTAATTCAGAATAAATATGTAAAGTTATTCTTCCATTTTGTGAAGATACTTGACGATTTGCTTCAAAAAATAAATCATCAAAATTAGCCAAAGACCCCAAATTTTCATTTAAAAGTCTGTGACACAAACGATTAACTTCCAATAAATTATCCAAAACAATTATAAAATATAATCCTTCTGATTCAAATTTTGTAATTGCATTTTCTAATGAACGAAGAATACAAGAATTTATTCTTTGAGATATTAATCTATTTAAATCTATTGAACGACCAAGAAGCTTTAAAAAAATTAAAAAAAAATTATTTTAAAAAGAAAATTTTACTTGAAAATGTCTTTGTCTAAGCAAAGTTTCAAATTTAACTGCTGAAGGTGTTCTTATTGTAAAATATTGTGTACAATCTGATTTAAATTCTTTATCTAATAACATCCTTTAAAAAATATTTTTTTAATTTTTATTTTCTTTTTTTAAAATTTACGTTGCTGCCAATTGTTTATAATGTGTAAATACAGCTTCGGATAATTTATAAATAAATTGATCAAAACATAAATTTACCTTCAAAAATATTTTAAATTAAAAGAAATAGTATATTAAAAAAACTTCAGCTTCAACTTCGTCATATAAAAATTGTTTTTTAAACATTTTTAAAGCAAAAGAAGCAGCATCATTATATAAATCTAATTGAAATAAAACACATTCCAACAAAGAAGAATCAAAAGAATCTAATATAAAATTAACAAAAATCCAAGGTAAAGACATATCAATTGGAAACTTTAAATTAATTTAATATTAATTCTTTAATTAATTTAAATTTACCTGAATTCTTGTCCCCATTGCCATTTCAAGAAAAAATTCTCGAAACCTTAAAATTAAAAAAAAAAAATTTAAACATTATTTATTACCAAAGTTGAGAAAGATCAGCACATTTTTCTAAAGAAAATTTAAATTCTAAAAGAATTGGCCAAAAATAAGAAGAACGCAAAAAATTAATCTAAAAAGAATTCTTATTTTTTTATTTAAAATTATTATTTACCATTTTTTCTCTATATTTTTCATCAATTTCTTTTTTATAAACTCTACGGCCAGTAGAAGCAGATTTTTCATAAATAATAGATTCTAACATTGTTCGAGCCAAATATAACTTTTAAAAAAAAATTAAATTTAAACTAATTTTTAATTCTTATATTTTTGTTTGTTTTTAGGAAGTTAAATATTCAATTAAACAAAAAATAGTCTATGTTTGACAGACACAAACCAATCTTAGAATTTTGGATCTGTTTGGGTTTAAATCGACACTGTACATGAATTTTTATTAAATTTTCTTCCCTTTATTACCATCTTTAAATGTAAAGATAATGAAGACATAAATATGTATAATATAAATAAAAAATAAAATGATTACTTGTGTATTACTCGGAACAACATTCCTTCTTCCAACACGTAAATCAGGAACTGAACCAATATTATTTTCTAATTTCTTTCCCTTTTTTAATAATTTTGAAGAAGATGAAAGTTCCGAAGATCTAGAACTAAACTTTCCCAATTGATTACCAACAATCATTGACTGATCAGAACAAGTCTCAATTATTGCTGTTAAAATACAAGACAAAACATCCTTTTTATGTTTTAAAGCTTTTGTTTGTAATTCAATTAATGTTCCTCCAACAAAATCCCGCATTTCAACATAAATATGTTGTCTAATTGCTACACAAAATTCATCTTCCATTTGCCCAAGTAATGACTGAATTCCTTTAACCATCGAAATAATCTTTTAAATTATTTTTAAAAAAATTATTTTAAAAATTAAATACTTCAACAATTGCCGATTTTTCTTCATTATTATAATTATATTTTGTTGCTAATTCATAAGTTTCAGCATTTTCGGGACATTCTGGATTCTTTCTGTGATTTGAAGGGTTTAATAATTTCCAGGCAATCTAAAAAAAGTTTTTTTTTTAATTTTAGATGAAAGGATAAAAACAAAAATTTTAGATATCAAAATAAGGAAAATAAATCCCGTCAATTCAAAGCTTTTTGTATTAATAAACAAATAAAATAATATCCCCCCTTTTTTAAATATTCCTTACAGTTTCAACAACATCACTAGTCCAAAAACAAATTAATTGTAATCCATTTAAAGTCAATTCAGCAATTTCTTTATTTTCATTATCATTTAAAGGTCCTTTTCTATTATAAATAGAGAATTCATTTCTAATTTTTCCCAAATGTGTTATATATTGGTCGTGTTGTTCTCTTATTTGATTTAATTTATTTATAATATTTACATGACATTTTTCGGCTTAAATTATTTAAATTAAAAAAGAAAAAATTTAAAAGAAAAACCTTCAATATTAGATAAAGGCCATTTATTTGGATCATAACATTTACATTGTCCAACACATTGATTTGGATGTTTACATTGAGAAACAAAAGTAAAGGGAAGAATATTCATATCACCAAATAATGGAACAACTTCTACAGACTTTTATTTAAAAAAGGGATATTTTTAATAAAAATATTTAAAAAAACCTTAAATATTTTATCAATTTTTTGTATAAAAATTCGTTTTTTCTGTTCCAATTTATTATAAATTTCAACATTCATTAAATAAAAACAAAAAGCAATAACCTTTTAAAAAATAAAAATTTAAATTAATTTTAAATTTTCAAAAACCTTAACATGAGTATGCTTTTCTTCAGGACTTGTATAAAGTTTTTGTTCAAAAAAGTGAACACTTAAATTTATTAAATCTGCCAAAACTTCTTCAAAAGCATCAATCTAAAATTCTTTTAATTAAAAAAAATAAATTTTAAAAACTTTTTGAATTTTTTCTCTTAATGTTTGTTTAATTCGATTTTGAGTGGCAAGGAAAAGAGTAAGGCTGTGTTCTGGAGATTGTGATGCTCTGAAAATAAAAGTTGAATTTTTCTTTAAAAAGTTATCTGTTGTATTGACTGGTTATACCAAAACTTAAATTAAAAATAATTTTTTGATTCTTTCAATATTTATAGAAAAGACTAAAAAGAATTTGATTAATTATCAAACCAAAAATTTCTTTAAAAAAATTGAAAAGTACATATAAATGATTATGTCTCAAAAATTGTTAAATGACATCGAAAAGGTTCAGCACCAATTTTGCCAAAAAATATTTATAATTTAAAACCTGTGGAATGTTGAAAGATCATTTTTTATCGAGGCCTGAAATAATTAAAAAAAATTAATTTGCTTAAATTAAAAGGAGATAAAAGTCAGTTTTGTATTGCCCTTTTTCTCATTTTTTCATTTACCAGAAAAATGCTGAAATACCTTTTCGACATTTTAAAGGTTTGCCAGTAAGTAATCGAGGGTGCTGAGTCTGAATATGATTACAAATTTTATTTATTTCAAATACTGGACTCGAAATTCGAACAAACGAATTGAATTTGGAAATTAAAAAACAGACATTAAAATTGTCGATTACCTATCGACAAACCTCTAAAATGACGGAAAAACATTTCTTCCTCTTTTTTTTTCTAGGTAGATGAAAAAATGAAAAAAAGTGCAACACAAACCCAACTTTTACAAAAAAAACCTTCATATCTTTTAAGGCATCCAAAACAACAAACATATTTAATAATTTACCAATCATTAGTAAAAGAGATTCAGAAACAAAATCTTTACGTTTTTCTGGATGAGAAATTGATTGAAATTCTTCAATAAAACGATCAATTGACAAAGACTAAAAATTAAAAAAAAACTTAAAATTTCAAAAATCTTCCCTACAGTAAATTTCATAAATTCATTCAATTTTTGAACTTCAGGTCCAAGTACTTGAACTATTTTTTCGTTTATTTCAACTCTATTTGGCTGATCATTTGATCTAGGCATTGGAACAGCTCTAGAACAACATCTCCAAGTATATAAATTAGCAGCATGTTGAAATCCTTTATTTAGCATTTCATTCTAAAAAAATAATAATTTAAAAAAATATTTAAAGAAAAAAAACAAACAAATTCTGCTTGACGATTTGCTTCTTCAATATATCTTTTTTTAAAAATATAAAATTATTTAAATAATTTTAAAACAAAAAACTTTGAACATCCAGTAATAAAAGCTCCTCTATCTTCAAATTTTGTATCAAGAGAAGCAAAACATTGTAATGGTTGCGAATTACCCTCTATACAGGGTTGGTCATCAACTATTTGTAAATCATCTAACGCCTAATTAGTTAAAAGAAAATTATTGAGTTAATTTTTGATAAAATTTATAACCTGAACATTATGAATTGCATTCTGATAATTAACAGAATCTTGATTTAATGAAGACATTTTCTTAAAAATGGTTTAGAAAAATGAAAATTATTTTATTAAAATATTTACAAATGTAATGAATAATAATGGATGACAAATTATTGCATTTGTTTGACAAAATTTTAAACGTAAAAACGAAAACAAATTCTAAAGTCAATAAATTATGAGTTATTATTATTAGTAATTAAAAAATTAAGAGAAAAGAATTCGTGTATACATACATATGTATGTATTCAAAAATACAGAATTAAACAAATTAAATTTAATCTTTGTTTAATGAAGTTTATAAAATTTATAAAATTACATATTTGATCACAATTTATGTGTGTCAATTACATAATAATTTTAATAAAATTATTAAAAATTTAATTTTTTTAAATTTAAAGTCCACTTTAATTTTAAGTTTGATTAAAGCTTTCGGCATGAAGCTCTATGGGAGTTAAAATATTTTTTCAAGTCCTTCAACTCCCTATTTCCCTCCAACTCATTTAATATCTATCCAATACAACTTTTATCCAAATACACCTCTTGATCCCTCGCTATCAGTTGCAAATCAGTCAACATTCCATCTAAATTTTAATTAGAGAATAAATTTGGATCTTGATTAATGGATTAATTTTAATCTGGATCTAGACTTTGATTTTTTCTGGATTCAGAATCCAGATTTCTCTTCCCTTTCTGCACCAGAGGCGAAAATTTTGAGAATTTTGGAGGTTCATAAGCCAGATATATTTTGGAAAGGACTTTATTTGTAAAATCACAAGTGTTGAACTAAGGAAAGCTAGCTCAATCTAAATGAACAAAACCTAATTTAAGCAAAAAATCGACAGTTTCAAAAATTTATTTACATACAATAGCAATACAATTTTAAATAAGCAGGCAACAAAAAATTAAGTGAACATATACAAACAAAATACAATCAAGAAAAATATCAACAGGTTTATCTAATTAGCATCTCGATTCATCTGGTTCTAAACACGTCTTTGTGTAGTCGATGTTGGGAAGCTGTCGAGTTGTTGTTCGCCTTCAGCCAGTACCTCTGGTTCCTCAGCAATTTCCCAGTCCATTTTTGCTTTCTTGTCGATTCCCTGTTCAGTGATTATCTGCAAAATAAATTAAGAAACTGATTATTTGACGCATAGATTACCCTCTCAAGCACCCTGGCCATCTCCTTGTAGGCAGGTGCATCCTCGAATTTGAGTTTGATGATGGGACCAATCAGCTCCCTGTAGCCTTGAGGGCAGCCATTGAGAAAGTCGTCCAGGTTGCTGAGTGCTGCCAGTTTTGCGTTGTAGACTGCGGCCCGATCTAAAAATTTGAAGTTATTAGGATTTCGCGTGCAAATTATTAACGAATATTTTCTCACCTCTCTCCGCTGACCATGGGAGTGATCCCTTTGTCATCTCAACGATCATGTAGAACCAGCTCTCGACGTCATCCCTCCGCGCCAAGTCCTGGTGTTGATGAGCACTACGCGAGCCATATCGAGTCGTCCCTCTCCATCCAACATCCTGTCTGGCGGCGATGATGTTGTTATTCTGAAAAAAGAAATTATTGAAAGGAAGAACTGCTGAGGCACACACCGCGTCCTTGTACCGCCGACACAGGCCGAAGTCAATCAGATAGATGTTGCGTATATCGTCGCTTGTCGTTTGTCCTGTGACAAAATTCCCCGCCTTGATATCCCTTGAAATGAAGCCGCATACTTCATGGAGTTCCCTGATGGCCTAAAAAATAAAAAGACAAATTATTGCACTAAGAATTTTTTAAAGGCAAAATCTTCTACCTCAAGAGTGACAAGAGCAACACGCACAGCTGTCCCGAGTGTGAAACTGCCATTGTTCCGGTCCTTCCGCAGTCTGTACAGGTCGCGTCCCTTAAGCTCCATCGCAATGAATGAGCAGCCTCGACTTTGAATGACCCCCTAAAAATTAAAATCAGTTAGATTGACCAAAATTAAAAACACGATATAACTTACATTGTCAAAAATCTTCGGAATGTGGCGGCAGTTCTTATCCTTTGCTGTTTCAAGCACGCGAGCCTCGATGTCTGTTGCTCCTGAACGTCGCTCCAGCTTGACCGCGAGTCGCTTTGTGTCCTGCTTTTTTCCCTTTGAGATGGCGTCGGCCTCATACACTTGTCCATAACCACCATCGCCAATCAGCTCCTCCAGCTTGTAGTTGTACCTCTCCGACTCGAAGATGAAGCCTGCGCGGACATTCAGATCGCCTTCCCTGGGACGGACTGACATTGCAACGAAGTTGTTGGCGAGCAGAGCACTGAATGCGAAGAACGAACGGCACTGTTGGTTGTAAAATGGTCGACGAGCAGCAGGCACTGTTGATTGTAGAGAAGGATGATGAGCGCTGTTGTGAAGAGAGTTGAGTGGTCACTGAAAATTTTATCCTTTTATAGATATACTAGGCCGTGAAACCAGGGAACCGGATTGATTCCCCTCCGATAAATTATAGAAGCCTTGAAACATACCCTCATGTCAAAACCGCACCGTTGCTTGCTCTCGGATTTAATGCAATTACTGAGTATTCAGAGGGTATCGTTTGTGTCGCAGGTTAATTACTTGGCCAAAAGCGATTCTACAACCACCATGGTGGCCCTTTCAAAACACTAAAATATGTAAAAATAGGGCATTATTATATTTTTCAAATAAAAAGCTTTATTAAGCATATTTTTCACTAGCTTTTCTAAATTGAGTAATTAGTATTACAGATAAAGTGCCTGGGTATATTTAAAACAAGGTGTCCGTCCCTTTACAAATCATCAAAAGAGAGCATGATTTCTCAAGAAGCGGTCGAAATTGGCCAAAATGGACAAAAAAGGAGATACATATTATTTTTACACTTAAAAATAATCATAATTTAAGCTTTATTCTGCATATTTTTCACTAGCTTTAATTTAGTTGAACAAATCGGGATCAGAAATAAACAGATTATAACATTGGAAGAAATTAAATGAGATTTTTTCAAGGTTATGATTCTTCTTTTTTCTGTGCCGAAGGCAAAAATGTTGAGAATTTTGGAAGGCCGCGAAGCCAGATTTCTTCCTTTTTCTTGTTTATATCAATAAACTTTTTTATTTAATATACTTATTTAAAAAAATTAAATTATTTTATATTACATATGTATATCATTTATAATTTAACTACTAAAAATATTATGTTTCTAATTATTTATGTATAATTTTTATACACATGTATTTATATTTCCGGTTCAAAAACTTTTCTTTTATTTTTGGTCAATTCTTCCCTTGTTTATAAATAAACTATTTATATGTAAGAGGTAGCTTATTAAAAGATATTTATATTTTTATATCTTTTTTAAAAGTTTTTCAATGCTTCTCTTTTTATTTATTGAGTTTTCCGCCTATCAGTAGAGAAAATATAATAAAAAATAAAAATATCGAAAAAAGGCAGCAATAATCATCTTCTTCTTCTTTTCTTCTCCAACACGTTCAAACATTGTTCCAACAAGAAAAATGACCAACCAAACCAACCAGCCACACACAGAAAATAATTAAATAAATATCCGCCCGCAGACAATATATACATATAATTTATCAAAAAAGCCTCCCCCCAACCAAAAGCCAATGCAATAATTAAAGTAAGGCATTTGTGTTTATGTGTGTGGGACCCGTTCATCATCAATCTCTTTTTAAATGATAATCGCCTAAATCTCTCCCTCTCTCTCTAAATTTTTCTTCAAGCTTTTTCTCTGAAAAACTTTGTTCCTCCTTTCTTTAAAAAAATCGTCCAATTAATCAAAAAAGGCAAAAAAATAATTTCAAGTTTTTAAAGAAAATATTTGGACATTTTTACTTTACATAGTCTTCACACAAACACGCCCAGGTAATTAAACAAAATAAATATTCATAAAATTAAAAAAAATTTTTTTTGGGACAATTATTAAAAAGATTGCATTTAATTTGGATTATTTAAATTTTTTTTTAAAAAACAATTTTTAATAATTTAAAAAAAAGTTTTAATAAAAAATGTTATTACAATTAATTATTAAATTTAAACAACAATTTAATAAAACTTCAATATTTTCTAATTTATTATTATTATTTTTATTATTATTACCTTCAACTATTCAAATTCCTATACCTAATGGGCAAGTGGGTGAGATTATTAAATTATTATTTTTTAAAAATTTTAAAAGAAAATTAATTTAAATAAAATAAATTTTTAAAGGGAGAGCAGAAGTAGAATGTGGGCAAGAAGAAATTGAAGTAGTCTTTTTAACAGAGGATCTATTTCAAGTAATTTTGAAAATTTATTTTGTAAAAAATTGTTTTTTTTAAATTAAAGGGACGTGTTTTTGTTGTCGGGCATTCAAATGAGACTGGATGTTCTTCTCGAGATATTGGCAAAAAATCGACATCAATTATTGTTAAAAAAGATAATTGCGGGGTTGTAACTATCCGTTCGGTTTTTGAAATTTTAAAAGAAAATTAAAAAAAAAATTCACTTTTTTTTAAAGCAAAATCCTCCAGGATTATTTGTTAATGTAAAAATAATGATTAGTTTTCATGAAGAATTTATTACAAAAATTGATAGAGTAAATAAATTGATATTAATTAAAATTAAATAATAATTTAAAAAAAGGGTTATGAAATTTCTTGTTTTTATATGGAAGCAGCCAAAACAGTTACTTTCCCAATTTCTGTCGAACCAAATACTTTACAACCATTTACTGAATTTGCAGAAATGCCTAGATGTAGATATGAAGTTGTTGATCCAACAACACAAGAACCTGTTAGTGTTGTTTCTGTTGGGAATAAATTATTACATAAATGGTAATTAAATAAATCTAATTGTAATTTAAAGGATTGTCTCTCCCCCCCCCCCCTTTCCTTTTTTCAAAAATTTTATTTTCGCGTATCTTTTCTCTTCGTTTTATTGTTTTACTTTCCTTTTTCTATTTAAAATTAGTTAATTTACAATTATTTTAATTAAGGAGGGAGTTTCTAAAACCTATATACATTTTTGGGGCAATATTTTTGACAGCCCTAGAACCCCAACTATTTCATTTATTATCCCAAATCTTTTTTTGGTATCCCAATTGGACAAAAAAAGGAACTGAATTTCAAATACTTTTAAATTAAGTTCTCCCTTTTATTAGTAACTTTTAAGATAATTTTAATGTTTTCAATAAATTCTCTATTTAAATTAATGGGAAATAATTATAAAGAAAAAATAAAAGAATTTTTTAATTATTTTAAAAGGACATGCGAATCAACAGCTACAGATCTTTGGTGTATGGTTGTACATTCTTGTTTTGTTGAAGATGGATCTGGAACTGAATTTCAAATTCTTACAGATGAAGGGTTTGTTAATAAAAATTATTTTGAAAAAAGTCTTTCTTTTAATTAGATGTGCAATTGATAGATATTTATTAGATAATTTGGAATATGGCCCAGGTCCATTACAAGCACAAAAAGAAGCACACGCTTTTAAGGTTGTAATAAAATTTTTGTGAATAAGAGTTAATCTTTTTTAGTTCGCTGATCGTGTTGTTGTAAATTTCCAATGTTCAATTAGATTAGATATTCGGGATGGGGAATGCCCGGTAAATTTAATCTTCAAGTCAATAAAACAATTATTTTTTTAAATTTTTGATACCAAAATGTCAAGATCTATCAAAACAAAAACCTCGACTAACAAGATCATTAACAAATGAATTATCAGCAGCTACTAACGAAAATGAAGGTTTTGCACAAATTGATGTACGTGCACAAGAAGTTGATGTTTTAGACCCAGAAATTGGTTTAAATTTAATTTTTGAATTGATTAAATAAAAATTAAAGGTTATGGACTAGAACGTTCCTTCTCAAACAACAAAAATGGAAATCAAGAATTGAGACGGATAGATTTATTAAATCAAAGAAAATTTACATCACCAACTCGTTGTGTGCCAATTGAAGATTTGGCATTCCCAGCAAGTTTATGCGCTGGACTTTTATTAGTAATGCTTTTGGTTGTTACTTGTATGTCTATTGAACGCCGACAACTTAGGCAGACATTATAAAAAATTAAACAATTGGGAAAATATGTGCAATATATGCATTTCTTTTTGATATTTTTATTATTTTATATTAATTATTAAATTAATTTTTTTTTATTTTAATAAAAATCACAATCATTAAAAAAACAAAAATGAATCTTTACATAAAATAAAATAATAATGTGCCAAAATTCAAAATAATTTGAATATTTTTTTCATTTTATAAGTAATTCACTCAACCTCTTCTTCATTATCCTCTTGTTCTTCCTCTTCTCTTTCAGATTCATTTTCATCTTTTTCAGCAGAAGGTGAACGTTGTTCAGGTTCTTCCCCCTCGTTAAGTTCAGGCTCTCCTCCCTCACTTTCTTCTTCATTATTTACCTCCTCCTCTTCTTTATCAGATTCCACTTCATTTTCCTTTTCAGAAGCAGAATGCTCTGACTCCTGTAGTTGAGCCTCTTCATTTCCTTCGTCACTTTCTTCTTTTTCTTCCTCTTCTTTCTCCCCCTCCTCTTTGTCCGATTCATTTTTATTTTCCTCAACAAAACTTGCATTTTCTGTTTCTTGCTGTTGAACAGCCTCCTCCTCATCACCACTTGAACTCTGTCCTTCAGTTCTACGCGTGGGTGATGGAGAAGAGGATGAAGATGATGAAGAAAGGAACGCTTTACTCTTGACTATAAATAATATTTTTTAGTAAACTTAATCTTATAAATATACGAACTTTTTCCACGTTGACGTGCTGGCACCATTTCATCTTCTCTTTCTGCACGTCTCCTCTCAGAAACTTTTGTCTTTCTCCCCACATTAGTATCATCTTCCTCTTCTTCACTTTCTTCGCCACCACGTTCACGATGTCGACGTTTCAATTTTCTTCGAGAAGATGTAGCATGAAGTTCTTCGTCATATTCACCCAAATCAGAACTGTCATTAACAAAATCTTCAGCTTCACCACCTTCTTTTCTCTTCTTATGTGTGGACACGCGCGCCGGACGTTTTTCTTCACGGAGCTATTTTTAAATTGTATTATAGAATAATTATTTAAAAATTTATTTATTATTACTTGTTTAAGCTTCAACATTTCTTTAGTTTTATCTTTATATTCTTCTCGCAACTGTTTTAACTTTTCTAATTTTTGAATATTTTCTTCTCGTTTACGACTCTCTTCTTCTTGTTGCTGTTTAAGTATTCTTTGTCTTTGCTCTTCTTGAATAGCTTTTTGACGGCGTTCTTCTTCATCTTTTTGTTGAGCTCTTTCTAAATAAACTTTTGCTTGTTTAGTTAAATCTGTACATGATTGTGCTTCATTTGCACAAATTGTTCTACTAATATATTTTGCTTTTGCCACAATTTCAGGTTGTGTACTCGCAATTGATTTAAATGTTCTAAATAAAAAAAAGTTCAAAAAAATATTTTTTTATTTTACCTTTCTGCAACTTTTAAATCTTCTACAGCATTTGTAACTGCTTCCAAATTAGATTTAACATCTTTTAATACTTGTGTTGCCATTCTTTGTAAAACAACTGCATGATTAAATTGATGAACAAGTTTATCTGGTTCTTCTTGTAAAATCTTAAAAATTTTTTTAAATTTTTTTATTAACAATTATAAAAACAACCTTTTCAATATAATCTCTACATTCTATAATTTTTCCAGCTTTCCAATAAGCTCTTGCAATATATCCCATTAATTGAATATCGTTATTTCTATCAAACTTTGTCATACAATTCTTGTACATTTGTAGAGCACTGACATATTGTTTTTGTTCCATATAAATATGAGCTATGTTAATCCAAACATCAGGAAAATCAGCAGTAGCTTCGCGAACTTGTGAGAAAATATCACGAGCATCAAGGAAAGCGCCTTTATGTGCAAGTACACATCCAACACCATTAGCAGCCCAAATATTGTGAGGACGAAGTTTTATGACTCTTGTGTAGTAACTGAGAGCACGATCACGATATAATGCATCCTTTAAAATATTTTAAGAATATTTTAAAATTGAACTATTTTTAAATTGGTTCTATTTTGCATAGAAATCAAGCTGGATATGATTTATGTGTTAGCGGATTTCCTGAAATCGTTCAAACCCCGCCAGTTTCTGATTTTTTAGTTTTAAATTGACCTAAATTTTTCTGAACTATAGGCCCAGGATCCAGTAAAAGTCAGTGGTGAACATTTTTAAAATGAATATATTTAGAACCTTTTCGCGAGTTTTTGATGAGAAAAGCATTTCTAACCAAATATTTCCCAGAGCAACAAAACTATAAACGTCCGTATTATTTGTCAATTTAAGAATATGTTCAAATTTTTTCTGTCCAGGCCCCCACTCTTCTTTAGCCATATGCATATTTCCTATTAAAGTCCATGGATCTGGATGTGTTGGATTAACAGACATCGATTCCTTAAAAAGCATTGAAGCATTATGTAAATCACCTTTATCACGAATTAAGCATCCCAATCGAAGAATACCTAAAAATTATTTTTCTAATTTAATTTAACAAACAATTAACATACAATCCATATAATTTGGCCTTTGTCTAATTATATCTCTATACAACTTCTCAGCTTCATCAAGCAGACCAAGTTGTTCATTTACTCTTCCAAGATTATAACTGATTGTAATTAAAAGTGCCGCTGCCTCATCATTAAGATTTTCCATTCCTTCAGATACTATATGATCTCTAGCTTCTTGAAAATATTTCTAAATTTTTTTAAATATTAAAAAGAAAATATTCTTAAATTTTTAATACTTTAGATTCATCCAATTCATTCAACATAAAATGTAAAGAACCAATATTATTAAGAATTTCTGCAGGAATATCAACACCAATTTCTTCTTTTAAAAGAGTAGCAACACGTAAATAAAGCTGTAATGATTCTTGTGGATTTAATTGTTCTAATAATTGTGCAAGTTCAATTAAAGCTTCAATTGGTGGTTTATCTGTTTGACTTTCAACTACTTTTTTGAGATATTCTCTAGCCTTTTCTCGTCGTTCAGCACATATCTTTGGATCTTTATGTTGGACATTAACATAAAGAGAACCAAGAACAGCAAGTGTATCCAAGTCATTAGGTACTGTTTTTAGAATTTTCTCAAATGCAGAAATTGCCTTAGATATTTAAAATTGAATTATTTTTGGCATTTACGACGTTTCGTTATTTAACGAGGGGGGATATAGGGCAAGATCCCACAGCCTCTGGATACACCCTTGATGTACAATCTAATTTACTACAAGCATACAAGCTCATGTTTTTATTAAGTTTTAAATCTTACATTTTCGTAGTCTTCTCGATGTATATAAATTAAACCAAGACCATAATAAGGGAGTACAAATTTAAGATGACATAAAGTTGTGGCCTGATAGTAAAATTGAAAAGCGTGTTGATAATCCAATTTTTTGTGATAACAACGGGCCTGATTTAATTTAATAATTTAAAGGTAAAAATCAATTAAAAAAACTTACCATGTGATACATGCTTTCAGCCTATAAATTTAAAAAAATAGAAAAGATATAAAATGTGTTATCTTAATAAATTTTATGAGTTCTCTAACCAAAACCTAGATATAATTTATGATCACTCTATTTTGTCTCTTTATCAAGCTTAATACTAGTGAGATAAGTGGAGGTTGTTAATAATAATAATTAATTAACAAACCCTCATCAAATCATTATCAGCCAATTGGTGGGCAACTTGAGCCAAATTAAATGTCTTGTCAACATCCTAAAGTGTTTTAAGTCATTTAAAAAGGAAATAAAAAAAACCTGTTTGTAAAAAAAGTGATTTGCCAAATGATTCAAAACCATAGGATTTTCTGGTTCATGATGATATGCCAGACCTAGAGCTTGAATTCCACTTCGAATACCTTCTGGAGTGCCAATATTTAAATCGAGAACAGCCAAAGCAACAATTGAAGGAACATTTTTTGAATCTAATTGTAATGCTCGTTCAAAAGCCAGCCTTTTAATAAAAAACAAAATTTTAAGTAAATTAAAAAAACCTTGCTTTATCCATCCTTCCAAGTCTTGCAAAACAATAACCCATACCAACACGGACATCTGCTGGGGCATTTGGATTTAATCGTAAACAACGTTTATAATATTGAAGTGCTGTTTTATATTCTTTTTTATTAAAGGCAATACAAGCTTTTCCCATCATTGCTGGAATTACTCTTCCATCATTGGCCATTTGTGCCTTTAAAATTTTAAAATAAATATTTGAAATGTTAACAGAATAAAAAACTTGATTCATAACAAAAGAAAATTGAGCATCAGCTTGTTCAACCTTATTTCCTTCAAGAAGGCAAAAATATGCTCGACCGAGTAAATGATTCTGATCATACATAATTATTTTATCGGCTGTTGTGTAAAGAAGTGTGGCACGTGTAAACCATTCTTTGCGTTTTTCTTTGTTTCTTTCCTTATTTCCCTTAAAAAAATTAAAAAGGATTTTTGGAAAATTAAAAAGAAATAAAACCATCAAAACATAATGGGCTGCCAACATATCGAGAGCCCTCATTTGATCTCTTTCATAATCTGGATACTCTAAACCAGCTTCTCCTCCACTTAATTCCAAAATTTTTACAAAATCCTGTACCATTCCTTGTTTGTAATATTCAAGCTAAAATTTTATATTTTTAATTAAAAAATAAATATATACAGCAATATCAAGCCAAAAATGCAACGCTGCCTTTTCACTTTTTAAAATTTGTAAAACTTCATCGCCTTCAGGTAATTCATTAAAATCAATTTCAATAATTTCCTAAATATAAAAATTATATATGTAGTAGAATTTAAAAAAATAAAATTTACATCTTCTGTGCTGTTTCTCAACGGAATAACAATTGCAGTTTTTTGTTGATAATTTGAAGACATTAATCCTAAAAAATTTAAATAAAATACTTACAATTAGTAGAAAACTTTTCTCTCTTTTTGAGAAAATTATAAAGGGTACATCCCAAAAGCAACCATAACTTGCTGGAAAATTTCTGTCCCTTATCAATTTTGAATCAATCTCTTTAGCTCGATGAGAGGAATCGTTTAATGCCAAATTTGGTAAGATCCGGTAATCTTGAAGCAAGTTATGGCTTTACGCCGTTATGGCCGCGCGCTCTTTTGGGCGTACATAAGTGTTGAAAAGACGTAGGACAATTCCACACTAACTACAGTAAGAAGTACATAAGATAACACAAACATGCTCATGGATACGGACGGATAATATCCGGATACCCGCTGATTTAACTGAATACGGGCGGATATGGATAGTGTTTTTTAATCAGGCGTAAAATTGTAAATGAAGGGGGAACGAAAAGTTCTTTTCTTCCATGTTGATGAACGAACAGCAGCAAAATTGCTAACTTCAATAGCTTCTATTATTTATTGTATGGGAAGCAATTCGGTTGCCTGGTATAAAAGGATAAAATTTTCAGTGATAGTTACCACTCAACTCTCTTCACAACAGAGCTCATCATCCTTCTCTACAATCAACAGTGCCTGCTGCTCGTCGACCATTTTACAACCAACAGTGCCGTTCGTTCTCCTTCGCATTCAGTGCTCTGCTCGCCAACAACTTCGTTGCAATGTCAGTCCGTCCCAGGGAAGGCGATCTGAATGTCCGCGCAGGCTTCATCTTCGAGTCGGAGAGGTACAACTACAAGCTGGAGGAGCTGATTGGCGATGGTGGTTATGGACAAGTGTATGAGGCCGACGCCATCTCAAAGGGAAAAAAGCAGGACACAAAGCGACTCGCGGTCAAGCTGGAGCGACGTTCAGGAGCAACAGACATCGAGGCTCGCGTGCTTGAAACAGCAAAGGATAAGAACTGCCGCCACATTCCGAAGATTTTTGACAATGTAAGTTATATCGTGTTTTTAATTTTGGTCAATCTAACTGATTTTAGTTTTTAGGGGGTCATTCAAAGTCGAGGCTGCTCATTCATTGCGATGGAGCTTAAGGGACGCGACCTGTACAGACTGCGGAAGGACCGGAACAATGGCAGTTTCACACTCGGGACAGCTGTGCGTGTTGCTCTTGTCACTCTTGAGGTAGAAGATTTTGCCTTTAAAAAATTCTTAATGCAATAATTTGTCTTTTTATTTTTTAGGCCATCAGGGAACTCCATGAAGTATGCGGCTTCATTTCAAGGGATATCAAGGCGGGGAATTTTGTCACAGGACAAACGACAAGCGACGATATACGCAACATCTATCTGATTGACTTCGGCCTGTGTCGGCGGTACAAGGACGCGGTGTGTGCCTCAGCAGTTCTTCCTTTCAATAATTTCTTTTTTTCAGAATAACAACATCATCGCCGCCAGACAGGATGTTGGATGGAGAGGGACGACTCGATATGGCTCGCGTAGTGCTCATCAACACCAGGACTTGGCGCGGAGGGATGACGTCGAGAGCTGGTTCTACATGATCGTTGAAATGACAAAGGGATCACTCCCATGGTCAGCGGAGAGAGGTGAGAAAATATTCGTTATTAATTTGCACGCGAAATCCTAATAACTTCAAATTTTTAGATCGAGCCGCAGTCTACAACGCAAAACTGGCAGCACTCAGCAACCTGGACGACTTCCTCAATGGCTGCCCTCAAGGCTACAGGGAGCTGATTGGTCCCATCATCAAACTCAAATTCGAGGATGCACCTGCCTACAAGGAGATGGCCAGGGTGCTTGAGAGGGTAATCTATGGGTCAAATAATCAGTTTCTTAATTCATTTTGCAGATAATCACTGAACAGGGAATCGACAAGAAAGCAAAAATGGACTGGGAAATTGCTGAGGAACCAGAGGTACCGGCTGAAGGCGAACAACAACTCGACAGCTTCCCAACATCGACTACACAAAGACGTGTTTAGAACCAGATGAATCGAGATGCTAATTAGATAAACCTGTTGATATTTTTCTTGATTGTATTTTGTTTGTATATGTTCACTTATTTTTTTGTTGCCTGCTTATTTGAAATTGTATTGCTATTGTATGTAAATAAATTTTTGAAACTGTCGATTTTTTGCTTAAATTAGGTTTTGTTCATTTAGATTGAGCTAGCTTTCCTTAGTTCAACACTTGTGATTTTACAAATAAAGTCCTTTCCAAAATATATCTGGCTTATGAACCTCCAAAATTCTCAAAATTTTCGCCTCTGGTGCAGAAAGGGAAGAAATCTGGATTCTGAATCCAGGAAAATCAAGGTCTAGATCCAGATTAAAATTAATCCATTAATCAAAATCCAAATTAATTCTCTAATTAAAATTTAGATGGAATGTTGACTGATTTGCAACCTATAGCGAGGGATCAAGAGGTGTATTTGGATAAAAGTTGTATTGGATAGATATTAAATGAGTTGGAGGGAAATAGGGAGTTGAAGGACTTGAAAAAATATTTTAACTCCCTTAGAGCTTCCAACCCCTTAGAGCTTCATGCCGAAAGCTTTAATCAAACTTAAAATTAAAAGAGTGGATTTTAAATTAAAAAAATTAAAATTTTTAATAACGGGGATTAATGTGTAATAAAAGTCGGAATATTTGTACTTATTTAATTTTTCTTATATTAAGGAGAATAAGTACCCGATTCAATCACAACAAATATCCCTTCAAATCCCTCGATTCTCTTTCAAAAGTTGTACTATGTCGTTAGAGTGGTGTAGTTCTTCAGTAATTTACTCAAATTCATTCCTCCTTTAAAATAAAAAAAAAGTAATTTCCGATCGTCTAAGATTTCAAAAATAACTTGAACTTTAAACTTTAAAACTTAAATTTTAATATCACAATGTTTATAACTTTTTGAAATGAACAAAAAATTAAATATTAATTAAAAATTCAAAATTTAAATTTTTTATTTGTTTTATAAAAATACAAGATTTTCATTATTTATTTATTTAATTACTTAACATAAGTAAATATTTTTTATGTAAAAAACAAAGAAAATCAAGTTTTAATTGTTTGTCTCATTTTAGAATTAATGTTTTCTTTTTTGTTTTATTAAGGCAAAAGAGCAAAAACAAAGTTTTGTTTTTCTGTTCTAAAAATTAAATATTTATACAAATACATTATACTAATTTAATTACACAATTATTTATCATGGCCTTGAATTAAAAAATGATTACTAATATCTAGTTTTATATATTTTTTGTTGCGAAAAGGAATTATTTTAATTGTAAAAAACATTTTTTTTTAGATTATTTTGTCTAAATTATTTATTTATTTTGCTTATATTTATTAAAGAAATACTAATTAATTAATTATTTTCTACTTTAATGGCCGCTTAGTTTCCGAAATATTCAACTTTTTAATTACCCTTCTTCTCATTGAAGTCAAAATATATTTGTTTTACCCTTGGGCACTTTAATTTAAATAATTATGTATTTCTAAAATAATTATCCTCTCACTTTCTTTCAAATTATTTTTATAAAACTGTCACGGTCACGATTATTTATATTTGTAAATAACAATTAAATCCTAAAATAAATAAATATAAAAAAACGTCCTTCATTTATTTTAACTATTATTTAGATTTTTCGCCAATATTTTGCGCAAAACCGCATTAAAAATTGGGGAAAGGATTTTCTAATTGACTAAATAAATATAAATAAATATTTGTATTGAGTACTACTCTAGATAAATATTTTTTTATATTTAATTTAAAAAAGGAAAATATAATTTATATATCTAAAAAAATATTTTCAACTAATTTTCCTCTCTCCAATCATTTTCCTCAACACAATTACCACATTCATTGAAGAATCTCAATTGCCAATTATCAGCAAATCTCAAATTTATTTAAATAAAAAAGCGGAAATATACAGGAGAAAAATATAAAATAATTAACTGCCGGGGTAAATGTCCAGTCCAACCTTTTGCGGACATGTAGACATCGAGCTGCACAAAAATTTTTAAATTTTTTACTTTAAATAAATTTATAAAATTTTATTTTTTCTTTAATTATATTTCCTTTTTTCTTTTCTTCTGTTTTTCGCGCACTTTTCTAAATAAATATATTTTTAGGATTTTTTTTCTTTATTATAAGCAGAATTTATATATTTTTTATCGGACTTTGAAAGACCGGGTTTTTATTGTAAAAATGTATTGAAGGATTATAAGCAGAATTTATTTATTTATTAATCAATGTTTTTATATAAAACTAGTTTATTTAAATAAATCCTGTGGAAAAACTTTTAAAAAATATTTTATATTTAAGAATTAAAAAATAAATTTTATTGTTTAATATTAAAGATAAAAATATTTCTAAAATAAATTTTCTTTTAAATTAAAAAAACAACAAAAAAATAAATTTTATTTAAATTAATGGCTATTAAAAATGTTTTTAAAAATAATAATAAATATTTAATTATTTTATTTTATTTAATTAATTATTGTAATTCTAAACCAATTGAAATAAAGTTTTTTAATCAAAAAAAAATATTTTTAATTTTTAATTTAAGTAAACAAAATATTGTTTATTCTGTTCTTCGTTTACGTGCTGAAAATGAAACTCAATTAAATTTTTTAATGAATGAATTTATTAATAATAGTGTTAAAGTAAATAAAAAATTAAAAGAAAATAAATATTTTCTTTTTTAAAGTTAGATTTTTGGAAAGAGCCATCAAATATTGGAGAAGATACTCATGTAATGGTTGCTAAAGGTCCAATATTAGATGATTTTCTTAATCGTCTAAATAAATATAATTTAAATATTCAAATAATGATTGAGGACGTTAACGAGTAGATTTTTTTGAAAAATTTTTTTTTTTAATTTTTAAAAATTTTTTAAAAAGATTAATTAAAAAACGTCAAAAAGAAATTGAAGAAAATAAAGATGAAGAAGAAGAAGAAAAAAAGCAGAAGGAAAATATTAATTTTCGTCGTCAAAGAGATGATCCTTTTATTAATTCTTCTCCAAGACTTAAAAAAGCAGCTGCTTTAGGAAGATTTTCTTTAGGGAAATATAAGTAGGGGGAATTTTAAAATTAAAAGAAAAATTCTAAAAAATTAAAAGGTCATTTGCCGATATAATTCATTATTTGAATGCTTTAGCAGTTAATTATCCAAATATAGTAACTGTACAACCTATTGGATCTACACATGAAGGAAGGCAAATACCCTTAATTAAAATTGGGACAAACAATAATTTAATTGGAAAGCCGGCTATTTGGGTGGGTAAATTTTTGAGAGAAATTTTATAAAAAAAATATTTTTTGTAAATAATTTTCCCCTAAAATTCATTCTCTCTCTTTCACTGGTCATTATAGTAAAGCAGCTGGGCTATAGCTTTTTACCTCCTTTACCTAGTGCAAAAGGTTATTCGGCGGCTGGGAGCGAAGCAGCATCTTCAGTAGACCGGACCATTACACCACGCCGTCTACTGCATAGCCTTAGGAAATAAATAGCTTATATGCTTTACAAAATTTAGAATTTTAAAATCATCCTTTAATTATTTAAAAGATTGATGGAGGAATTCATGCAAGAGAGTGGGTATCCCCAGCAGTTGTTTTATTTATGATAGATCAATTAGTAATTGGTTATGACACTCAACCATTAATTAAACAATTTGTTGACCAATTAGATTGGTTTATTGTTCCTTTATTAAATCCTGATGGTTATGAATATTCTAGAAGTAGTTCTGACCCAGAAATTCGTCTTTGGAGGAAAAATCGTTCACCGACACAATGTACACAAATAAATACTGGTTGGAATATATTGAATTTAATTATTTAAATAAAAATAAATGGGGATGTAAATAAATAATTAATTAATCTACAAGAAAATAATTAAATATTTAAACGGGAAATTAATTAATTAAATCTGAACTGGGCAATTCTCTTTCAACTAATGAAGGTTATTTATGCGGCTGGGAGCTAACCAGCATCTTTAGTTAACCAATGTTTGCTATATTTTAGATTTAATTATTTTTAGCCAATCCCTTAAATTACCTAAAAACAATTTTTATTTAATCATTTTAATTAAAAAATCCAAAAAACAAAAGAATAATTTATTTAAACAACAGGCCTTTTTACCCCTCCAAATACTCAATGTTGTCAGGGTGTTGATTTAAATAGAAATTTCGATTGGTTTTTTGGGCAAGTTGGTTCTTCTTCAGATCCTTGTTCAGAAATATTTGCTGTAATTAATTAAAAAAATATTTCCATAAATAATTATTTTTAGGGAAATTTTGCTTTCTCAGAGCCGGAAACTCAGTCAGTTAGAGATTTTATTTCTCAACAACAAGGAAGAATTAAAACATTTATGACATTTCATAGGTTTTTATATTTAAATAATTAAAAAGCTTTACATAGCATAGCTTTTTTAAAAGATCTTGAAAGAGAGAAAGAAATTAAATAAAAGTTAAAATAAATACAAGAATTATTCTTTTTAATTTTTCATTTAAAAATAGGCCCAAAATAAATTAAAATTTCTCTAAAAATTTTTTTTATTTTAAAGTTATTCTCAAATATTAATGTATCCATTTGGCCATTCATTACGTACATATCCACAAGATGTAAATTTATTTTTTTCAATTAATTTAAAATTAAATTTTCAAAGGTCCAAGAATTAAGTAATGTAGCATTGCGGGCTGCCCAAGCACTGCAATCAACTTACGGAACTAAATATACAGTTGGCACTGGTGCTGATACTCTGTCCGTATTTAAAAAGAATTTTAGTATTTTTATAAAATAATTGAAGGAAATATATAAGTAGATGAAAAATTGGCTGCTTTGCAGCTATCCGGCATCTGGTGGCAGCGAAGACTGGGCAAAAGGCAGAATGGGCGTTAAATTCTCGTTTTTGTTTGAACTTAGACCCGAAGACAGTGTTTATGATGGATTTTTGTTGCCTGAAAGTCAGGTGGGAGGGAAATTGGAAGGAAATTTAAACAAAATAATTACTTGGAGAGAAAGAAATACATACACAAATTTTAATTAATTTAAATAGGGAATTTTCCCTTTAACTTCTCCTCTTTAAAGATTGTCCCAACAGCAAGAGAAACTTGGGAAGCAGTTAAAGTGATTGGGGTATTCTTTTTTAAATTTTAATTTAAAGAATAAAATATTTAAAAGACTTCAACAATAAAACAATTCCAACAACCCCAACAACAAATATTTAATGGAATACAAACAAATAACAGAGCAAAACGTGTTTGTAGAGATACGGATTCTTTGTGTTTATATTGGACACAACAAGTAATCTTTAAATTAAAAGAGTTAATTAATTTATTTAAAAAGAGTTCATCAACGTGTCAACAATGGCCAGCAATGAAAGAACGTTGTTCTCGTTCTTGCAATTTTTGTTCAGCTGACGAAGAAAATTAAAATAAAAAATATTTTCTGATACATAATATATATAAATTGTTTTAATTAAATTTTTTTATTAAAAATATTTGTAAAAATTAAGAATATAAAAATGGAGGAGAATTTGAGAGGTATTAATAAATTAATGATAAATGACATTTATTTGTGCCAGACATGTGTACATAATTTTTCTCCCAATAAAGTATAAAATAAAAAATTTAAAAAGCATTGTTTATAGAAAATAAAAAAAATTTTTTTTAATTTAATATAAGGAATTTTTCTTTTTTTATTAAAAAAGATTATTTATTTATTTATTCTTTATTCTCTCTCCCTCTTTCTCAACAACCTTTTTTCTTTATAATAAACAAGTAAGTAAGTTGATGACCATGGCCGAAGAATAAAAAAAACTTTATATATTTTATTTATTACTTAATAAACTTTTATTGATCTCAAAAAACACAAAAATATTTTTTTTTAAATTAAAGAATAATTTAGTGAAACTGTTGTTTTTTTATTTAATAAAAAATTAATTAAAAAGAAATTCCTGTATATATTTTTATTTAATTATCCCTTCAGGGTCAAACTTTAAATATATATTGTTATAAATCAAAGTTTATTTTTAGCAGAAAATATAAAAAAAGGTAAAAAAGTAAATAAATAATAATTATTAAATAAATAAAAGGAGAGAAGAAATTCTCTTTTTAATTAATCATTTATTTATGTACTCACATTATTATCCTCTCCTCTCCCCAAAAAACTTCTTTTTCTTATTACAGTGTTCATAAAAATATATATTTATTATTAATTAACTAAAGCTTTTATCATCTTTTCTTTATCAATTGAGCGAAATAAATTATTAAAAAGTTTTTAGGTAAATATTTAATTTTAAATTTAATTTATTTTCACTCAGTAAATTTGGAAGATTGGAATTAATTTTTAAAATTTAATTTCTTTTATTAAAAAATGTTTATTTAATTTTAATTTCCTTTAATATAATTACTTATTAATTAATTATTAACAACTGCTTAGCTTTTATTAATTTTTAAAAATTCTTCTAAATCAATACACAAATAAATATATTAATCATTTTATTCCAACTTTTTTCTAATTAAATGAATATTTTATTTTTTATTTTTTTATTTTTAATTACAAAATTTAATTTAATTAATACAATCCCGTAAGTGATAAAGAAATTAATTAAAATTAATTAAAAAATTAATTTAAATTAAAGAAGAACAAAAATTAATGATTTGGTTATTAGTAAAGAAATAAATGAATTAATTGAAGAAGAAGAAAAAGAAGGAGGAAATAATTTAAAAAAGGAATTAAAAACAAATAATTTATTTGGAAATTCTTCTACAAATTCTTTTGTTGTAATTAGAGTTATTCCTTTAAATGATGCTCATTTAAAATTATTAGAACAATTGGAAATTAATGGGGCTGATATGGAGGTAATTTTTAAAAAAAGAAGAGAGGAGGATTATTGTGTATACAAGGAAGGAATCGGAAATTGACCCCCTAAAACAGAGAATAGTTTATTTTTTATGTCGGCAGAATCTTTGTTTTATATCCAATAAACAATTAAATTAAATTTTCTTTTTTAAGTTAAATTTTTGGACATCCCCCGTTCGAATTAAATCAGGAATTGATATTATGTTACCTAAAGAGAAATTACCTTTATTACAACATTATTTACATAAACACAAAATTAATAATTTTAATGTTTGTATTTAATTTTTTTAAATTTCAAAATAAAAAATTAAAAGATAATAATAAATGATGTTGAAAATTTAATAATTGAAAGAGAAAGAAAAAATAAAAATATTAAAAGAAGAAGGTTAGCTGATGAACCTATTAGAGAAGAAATAAATAATAATAAAATTGAAGAAGAAATTAATTTTCATAATTGTAAGTGGTTGGTTGGTTGGAAATAAATTAAAAATTAATTTACTTGGATACTCAAAAAATAATTAAAATAATTTAATTTAAAAAATAAAAATTTAATTTAAAATTTCAAAAAAAAGATAATTCTTATTCCCAAATGGTTGCTTGGATGAGAGCTTTAGCTAAACAAAACCCAAAATTCGTTCAATTTATTTCAATTGGAAAAAGTCATGAAGGGAGAGGAATTGAGGGACTTGAAGTTATTTTTATATTATTTAAATTTAAATTTAAATTTAAAAAAAAGATTGGAAGTAGAGGATTTAGAAAGAGAGCATTTTGGATTGATGGGGGGATACATGCAAGAGAAGTTTGCCTATTTTTAATCAGATTTAAAAAAAATATTTTTTAAGTGGGCGGCTCCACATACAGCACTTTATTTTATTCATCAAGTAAGGGGGAAGAGGAGGGGGGATATTTTTAAAAAATTATTTTTCTTTTAATAAAATAAGTTGGTTTCTCGTTATGGAAAAGATGAAGAAATAACTCGTTTGGCAAATGAAATAACTTGGATTATAGTTCCTTTATTAAATCCTGACGGTTTTTCTTTTAAATTAAATTTTAATTTTATTTTTAAAAATCAGGTTATGAATTTACTCGTTCTTCCACAAATCCAAATGTTTTTATTTTTAATTTTAATTAAAAATACATACATATTTAAAAAAAGATAAGACTTTGGAGAAAAAATCGTTCACCAACTCATTGTGTTAGAGACCAGTGGGGAAGAAATAGATGCTGTAAAGGGGTTGATTTAAATAGAAATTTTGATTTTCATTTTAAAGGTAAATAATCGAAATAAATTTAAAAATTGTTTTTTTTTCTAAAGAAAGTGGTTCTAGTGATGATCCGTGTTCTGAAATATATCAAGTATATTTTTTTGAATATTTAATTTATTTTAATTTAAATAAGGGAAAACACGCTTTTTCTGAACCTGAAGCTAGGTAATTAGTACATAAATTAATTTTAAATTTAAATCCCTTCTTTTTTTAGAGCAGTTAGGGATGCTTTACTTTCAAATAGATATAGAGGTAGAATTGATGGATATATTACTTTACACACTTATTCACAAATTTGGATACATCCATATGGACATAAAAGGTTTAGGAAAAGAGATTTCTTTTTAAATAATTTAAATGTTTGTAGAGATAGCTATCCGGGGGATGTCCAGGATTTATTTTCTGTTGGACAAAGAGCAGCTTCAGCACTTAGCCGTCTTTATGGAACAAAATATGTTGTTGGAAGTGGGGCTGATACTTTGTATAGGATTTCTTTTAATTTATTAGAAAATATTTTTAGATATCCAGCATCTGGTGGAAGTGAAGATTGGGCAAAAGAAAGTGCTAATATTAAATATGTTTATTTATTAGAATTAAGGCCTGACGAGAAAAGTATTTTTTAGAAGTAATTTTTAATTTAAAATAAAAAAGATTGGGACGGGTTTATTCTCGATGAAAGGCAATTAATGCCTACAGCGACAGAAACCTGGGCAGGTGTTCGTGTTGTAGCAGAAGCAATAATTCAAAGAGCTAGGGCAAGAAGAGTAGCTACTATTTTAAATAATAATGGAAGTGGAAATTTTTCTGTTGGGGGTTTGGAATTTAGAGAAAAGAGAATCTTTTTTTTAATTAAAGGGGTTAAACAATTTATTTTAACTGATAAAACAACAACAATTAATACACCGGAAATTAAAGAAGAAGAAGAACAAAAAATTATAAAAAGTTGTGTAGACAGAAGAAGAGCATGTAAACGTATGAATTGATTAATTAAAAATTATTTATTTATTTTTTAAATTAAAAAAGGTTGGGTAAAACAAAGTGAACATCTTTGCCAATCTGTAACAATTTTTATGGCAGATCAATGTGCCCGTTCTTGTGGATTTTGTTAAAAAATCAAAAAAAAATCTTTTTTGATAAATTAAAGATCTCACGGATTAAAAAGAAGAAGAATTTGAATAATTTTTAAAAAAATGTTTTCTTTTAATAAATAAAAAATAAAATATTTTTGAAATTTATTCTAAAAAATAATTACTCCAAATAATTACTACAATTTACTACACAAAACTATTTATGTAGTGTTTAGCTGCCTTCCAAGCAGTAGACATGGATTCGTGTTTTTTCTCGTGCGAATTTCGTTTTTGTAGATTTTTCATAATGTCAAAAACCAAAGTGGGCGTACTAGTAAAGTTTAAGTGTTTTCGAAAATTTTCAATTTGTGAAAAAATTTATGTAAATACATACTATTTCGAAAATTTTTAATGTTTACTATGTTTCTAATTTAATATTATCAAATTTTTTGCAAAATCCCGAGTTAAAGAATTTTTACAAGTTAGCTTATACTTTTGTGCAATACTGTAGAAATTTTTGTGAAATATAGTAGAAAATTTTACACGTTTTTGATCAACGTCTACATGCTAAAAAGTTGCTGAAAACTTCAAATAATTGCATTTATCGTGTTGACTTATTACTGAATGATCAAAGTAGATATGTGCTCTGTTGGAAAAGGATTTCGATCATAGAAGGTATTCGGATAAGGCTGGTACGTGTTTTTTGACTTGCGGCTGCGGAAAATTTTTATTTGCATCCAGCCCTTCAAGACTATATTGTACTAGTATTCAAATATTCAAAATAACGCGTCAGAATTGACAATAAAACAAAATGCCAACTTTAAATTTTATAATTATTTATATAAAAGCAAGTTTTATTTTCATTGATAGAAGGGAAAAAGAATTATTAAAAATTTATTTTAATTAAAAAGAAACGAATTTTTTAACTGATTTTTTTTCAGTGGTTAATTTCTTATTTTTGTAAAAATTTTGAATATGGATAATAATCAACAACAGACACCAGCATTTGTTGGAAGAGGCCGTGGAGGACGTGCAAATTTTGGAAATGGTAAATGATATGTCCTTTTAAATATAAGTATCAGGGCTGAGGCAGTGTGGTTAGGCAAATTTAGTATCAAAAAATTTTATTGATCATTATTTATATACTCATTAAATAATGAATTAAAATCAATTAAATTTTCTAAAGTTTCTTCACGAACTGATTCTATTTCTGATAACAATGACACAACTTCTAACG